ACAACTAGTTCTGGAGCCCCTACCTCGATTACCTAACACAAAAAGGGCTGGTGGAATGGTTCGATGTGTAGGCCCTGAGTTCAAACCCCGGTACCGCAAAAAAAAGAAAAAAAAAAAACCCAGCAGAGATGCTCTGTTGTTTCCTCCTTTGCAGAGGAGGGATCCGAAGAGGTTAGAAAAATCACACAGCCAGCATCTCTGTCTGCCTTCCCTGGAAAATAGCCAGGCACAGCAAAGGGAAGCCACCCATGGTGGCACATGCACCCCCGAGGCAGAGGAAGGAGGATTGTGAATTCAAGTCCAGCATGAGTTACACAGGGAGACCCCCTTCTCCCCCCACCCCAAAAAGAAAGAAAACCAGACATGGCTTACGAGGTTGGTCAGAGGGTGACCAGGTTCCTCTGGGGAAGCCATGTGAGACAGAGGATGCAGGGATGCCCTGATGGCCTCCCACCTCCGTCTGCAGCACTTGCAGCTGGATGCAGCTGCTCCTGGCTTCTGGATTGGGTTGCAGCCTCCTGGCAGCCATGGGAAGTCCTTCTGCTCCGAGCCTCATCTGAGGAGGAAGGACCAGAGCTGCCTCCCTGAAAGGCTACCCCAGGTCAGTTGGGGGTGTTGGGAGCCTGGGTCACCGCCAGACCACGTCATTCAGGGTCAGTGGGCCAAGTGACTGTGGCGCTGGCCCCGGGCCACCTGCTGGGGGAGGAGAGCAAGGCTGGACTGTGCCCCAGCACTGCAGGTGGACAAGGCCAACAGAGCGCACCTGAAAAGGTGCATCCGTCAATCTGGATCCAGCTACTTTGGGATGGGTATGCATCCAAAGTCCTTCTACAAATGTTGACCGAAAGAAAGAAAAGCGAATGTGTGAATGACTGCAGAAGTGGGGGAAACCCTGACAGCCACCTGCGTCAGCTGCACTCCTTGTACAGTGGAGAAACTGAGGCCCAGGGAGGAAGAGGGGCCACAATTGAGGCCACACCAGCTGGGGGAGGTAGAGCCCAGGCTTCCCACAGCCATGATGCCATGCATCCATTTCTTAAGTGCATTTTCCAAACACTGGGTGACACCTCTTGTCTCACCTGCCAGGTTTTCCTCTCAAGAGCTAGTCCCTGTGGTTTGAGGACAGTGGACCTCACAGCATCCCTACCCTGTCCCCAACCTCAATCCCAGCCCCAACCCTAGGATGTGTGGAGCTAGATCTAGCCAATCAGGGCATCCTATTTCCAGGCTGAAACGATTGGTTCGCGGTGGGGGTGTGGCCCAAGTTTGTCCAATGAGAATTAATCACAATGCTTGGTGTAACTGTCTCAAAGAGATTTCTTTACTGAGGGCTTCTGGGTCTGAGGACATCAGCCTACAGTGTTATAGAGAACGTTCATGAAAACAAAGGCAGCTGAGCAGAAAACAGCTGAGAGATGGGGGGTGAAGGGGTGAGAGAGAGAGAGAGAGAGAAAGAGAGAGAGACTGAGACTGAGATGTTGCTTGCTCACCTGGATCCAGCTATGCCTGAAGCTGCCCATGAAATGTTCAGTTACCTGAGCCAACTCACTTCCCGTTTCTGCATGAGGTGCGGTGAGATCCACAGCCATCACTTACAGCAGAAGAAGATACTACTTCCTGTCAAGTCTTAAGGATAAAGATGTTTCAAACAGTGCCTGACTCTGGGAAGTTTGAGCTCACGGGAACTACATGTCAGCCCGTTCCCGTAAGATCTGAGGCCAAAAGTTAGAGACAGCAGTGGTGAGATTTCCTATGCCTGGAACTTCATCACAGGCCGGTGAAGCCCTGTTTGTGCCTCCCCTACCCAGTCACCTATCCCCTAACCCTGTCCCCTACCCCGTCCTCATCTGGGGCTGGCTTTCTCTCTCTGTCCAGCCGGTGAGAGAGCATTGAGTGAAAGGCTACTGATTTCAGAAAATGGGGAGGAACATGGACGCACACCCCTCAGCCCTCAAATCACGTGCCCTGGCTTTGTCTGATGGTTTCCTTCAAAGGGAAAGAGACCTTTTACAAGCTCACTCGTGTGTCCAGGAGAAGCTTGTAAGAGTTGCGACCCAAACTGTGCTGTTCCCGGACAAGGAGCAATCAAGGTGAGGAGGGGTGGGGCGGGTCCCATGCATTGCCCAGGGGTCATTGGCATGGGGGTGCAGAAGCAATCACATCACAATGGCGTGTGCATGTCTGTGTGGTGTGTGCGCACCGTGCGTTGTAGCCCGCATCTGAAATTTTAAATCATACTTTCAAAGTATCCAAGGTTAAGTCCCAGTGGTCGAAGGCTTGGAAACCGAGGCTCAGAGCCGCTCCGTGATCTGTCCCAGGTGACACAGCCAACTTGCTTGGAATAGAAGCAGGAACTGGACACAGCTTAGACAAGGGAGGCAGGTAGAGCTCTCCCGGCCTGAATGCCGCCTGGAGTCTCATCTGGGCAGCACCCAAGTAGCCCGGTGCCCGTCCTCCCCACCGGCTCCCTGCATCGCCCACTGTGGAGCTCTGCCTGGATGGATCATAATGCTATATGGTGTTTGTCTGTCTTGCCACAGAACTCCAAGCTTCTTGAGGGAAGTAATCCCACTCTACTCTGGGGCAGGGGTAGTTGGATGCATCAGTGATCGAAGCTGTCCACTTACAGCGCAGATACTAAAGTCAAGGGAACAACCAGATTTGGCTTCGACACAAATCCCTGGCAGCCATTCTCCTGAGATCACCTGGGCTCCTCTGGGAACATCTGTGTTCCCTGGTTGGCACAGGTAACAGAGCTGATCACATCCTGACCCTGGGAAGTGCCAGGAAGCCCCTGGGGCATTTGGCTTTTGAGCCAAACCCTTAATGTCACTTTGGGTCCCTAAGTGTGAGTCTTGTGTCCACTGCTGTCTTCTGGAGCCATGTTTCCCTTCTGGGAAACCTGAACAGCAGCTGGGGCATCAGGTGGCCTTGAGGCTGAGAGAAAGAGGCAGGGAAAGGGTTTGGTGAGCAGTGGGGGAGAGGTGGCTGTGGGTGCCCTGGAAAGTGCAGTTCTGGGACCTGGTGTGTGTGTAAACCTTGAGGTCCCTCACAATAACTAAGCCTGGTTAAATGTCCTGGGTCATTACGCCCCCGTTAGGCTTCTGGAGACTTGGTCGGTTGGGGTAATTTACCCTGGAGACACTGAACGGTGTCTGGACAGCAGAGCTCTGTTCAAGGTCAGAAACACCCTGAGGCCCAGGAGTGCAGCTAGAGAGGCAGAGTCACAGCCTGCGTGGGCTTGGCCCCCAGTTTCCTGGCTACTATTCACTCCGGGACTTGCCAGCCTTTGGGAAAGGCTGATTTTGGTAAAGGGGATGAAAAAAGTCTTCCTTCCCCCAAGGAGCCAGTAGCCTGAGGTTTTCTAATCCCAGAATAAAAAGCTCCTGCAGCTTGACCCTGACCTCTGCCCTGGTTTATCTCTGCCCCTCTCTGCCCCATTTTCCCGACACCCTAGGCTGGAATCTCTGGCAAGGGGAGGGTCAGGACTCTCTGCCTCTTTCTACCGTGTTGCCCTGTGTGGAGATCGAACCCAACACTTCTGGGCTCCTGAGATTCATGGTCTTAGGATGGAGAAACTGAGGCCCAGAGCTGCTGGGTCCCATAGCTGGGAAATGGTGACAGGTTGTTCAGCCTCCAGGCTGAGGAGTCCCTCCCGGTGAAACCCAAGGTCCCAGGGCCCTGGCCTGGCATCCTTGTCAGCACCCTTGGTGTGGCCAGCAGCTGGTGTGAGACTGGACGCCCTTGGACAGCTCACGTGCTTGGCTATGAGCTCACTGTCACTGACTGTAGCCGGTCATCCCCACCTCTGGCATGGTTTGGGTTAGATTGAGTGTAAGTCAGTTTGCTTTTTTTGTAAATTAAGCTTTGATTTTCACACCTTCTGTGGTTTGAACATGTACCCCAGAAATTCATGTGTGGGAAGCTTAATCCACAGATCAAATGTTCCTGGTATTTGAAGTCGGGACCGGTGGAAGGTGATTAAGGGCAGGGTCTGTGAATGGTGTTGGTGGCTTTATAAGTAGTGGAAGACAGCCAGGTCGGTGGCGCACGCCTGCAATTCCAGCTACGCAGGAGACAGAGATCAGGAGGATCACTGTTCAAAGCCAGCCAGGGCAAATAGTTCACGAAACCGAGAATAAAAACTCATCACAAAAAAGGGCTGGTGGAGTGTCTCAAGGTGTAGGCCCTGAGTTCAAGTCCCAGTACTGCAATAAAAAAAGAGCGCGCGCGCACGAGAGAGAGAGAGAGAGAGAGAGAGAGAGAGAGAGAGAGCAAGAGCTGAGCTGTGTGCAAGGCCTCTTTTCTTCATAAGTCACCCGGTCTCTTTCCATTGTTACAACAATGGAAAATGGACCAAAACAATGACATGTATAATCCAGGCGCCTTCACGAGTTCCCACAGGACTTGCTATGGGCTGAACAGTTGCGCTCCCTAATTCATAGGTTGAAACCCACCCCAGAAGGCAGCACTATTAGGGTACAGGGCCTTTGGGGCCTCTGTAACCAGGACAAACGGGCAACAGGCGTCCATCCTAAACACATCAGCCTGGTGCCTGCAGGGGAAGCTGAGTGCAGCACGCAGAATAAATCCGTCCACACAGGCGCAAGAGGCACGCTGTCCGGCGAGGCAAAAATCCTCCCAAAGCAGCGACCACGTCCCTCAGGGGTGGGCAGGGCGGCTGCTGAAACCCGCTGGCCTTGTGGGCGGCAGCCCTTTGAACAGGGAAGGCTTGCTGAGAGAACGAGCGAGTGAGGGAACCAAGCAGGGATGGATGGATGAACGAGTGGCAGGGAGGGGCCTGGCTGGCCCAGTGCTGCCCCTCAGAGGGGACGGGGCACGGCTTGCAGGCCGACATTGATTCTTGGCCTCAGGAGTTCATCTTCTCCCCCACCTGTGGCCAGTGGCTCCTCCAGCTGCGATGACCTGGACTCTGACCACAGGGCCTGGCCGGGGCACCACTGATCTTACCTTTGATCCACAGGTCACCACGCCTCCTGATGATGGCTGGAGTAAGGGCCACCCTGGGGCTGTCTCTCACCTGCATCTCAGCCCTCAGCCTCGTCTCCCCTGCCTGGTTCCAGATGCCCACCTTCTCCTTTGGCGTCCTCACCTACTGCTCCTGGCCTCAGGGGACAGCTGGAACCAGAGCTGTGTGACCTTCAGGTCCCTGAAGGACATTCCTGACTTTGCGTGGAAGGTGAGACCTACTTGTCACACCACTGGACCCTGGGAGACACAGTCAAAGCCACCAACACAGAGAAGTGCTCCTGCAGGGTGGGGTCTGAGGTCCTTTCCTCACCACAGGGCGCCCCAGTACCTTTGAGTGGCCCACAAATGTCCCCTGAGAACTGAGCACACAATATCTTAAACCACAGCCCTTTGCACAACTTTGTAAAATGGCCGGTGCTGGGTCCACTTGGAGCTGCTGACTCTGCAGGTGTGGGGTGGCTGGGCTCCCCGTACTTTAGCAAACAGGATGATTCTGAAGCTTTGTGCACGTTAGGACAGGGGACCCCTTCTTCAGGACACTGTGCTGCCACCTGCTGGAAAATCACCCTACCTGGCCACCGTCAGCCCTGTTAGGTTTGATAACGAAAGCCAAATTGTTGAAGACCTTGTTGTGATGCAAGGTGCCAAAATCAACCACCGGGGGGCTGGGAGAATGGGTGCTTAGCCCAGCACGTCTGGGGTTGATTACAGGGCCTTGAAGATGGATGACAAAGGTGGAGTGACAGCCCCGCCCGTGCTGCTCTGGACGAGGCAGGCGTGGTGAGCTGTCAGTCTGGGTTTTCTTTCTGGCTCTGCTGATTCCCTGGGCTGCTGGGGGAACGGGGTTACAGCAGCTCAGACCCCTTGGGAGGTCTGGGTGTCTCAGTAGCCACTTACTGATCAGAGCGAGCCTCCCAGCCCCTTTTCTATCTCTCTCTCTCTCTCCTGGGCAGGTGGCTGCCGCGCCGCTCCTGGGTGGCTGGGTCCTGCTGGCTGGCAGTGCTTTTCTCCTCCTGGCCTGGACCCTGGCCCCCAGAGGGCTGTGCCCAAGAAGGGGCAGTGGCCTTACGCCAGGGGTCCAGGCAGCTGCAGGTAAAGTGTCTGTATTAATATGGAATGAATGACTGAAGGAATGAACGAACGAGCTTGTAAGTCAGGCCTCTGAGGCCAGATCTCCAGGATGAGCACTAGACTTGTGGATTATTCCTAGTCCCTGAACAATTCCAGAGTTGGAGAAGGGAGGGGACACCCTCAGTGCCACCCGTTCTTCGCCAACCTCGTTCTAATGCTCTGCCCCCCTTTGTTTTGCCTCACCCATCCACGTTCTGTCACCTTTACCCCAGTTGGGTAGGTTGTGCACTGCACTTGCTAAGCCGTGAACACCTGTGCCGTGGGAGGCCTGCTTGTCTCCAAGCCACAGCCCTCGGGGCACCGTTGTGTCGCCTGAGTCTTGATTGGCATCCTCGAACAATTAAATCCTCATCATCCCCACCAGGGTCTCAACAACCAGTGCTTCCAGCCACACACTGGACAAACAGGTCCTGCTGCAAAGGAAATCGGATCCTCGGGCTGGGCTGACTGGCTGTGGTTCCTTCACACTCAGAGTGAAACCCGAACTCAGGGCCCATTTACCAGCCCCCCCATCTTCCACCTCTGCCAGGGCTGGTGCTCCCTGGGCCTCCCCTGCCAAGGTCACACTCTCACTGCCTGGCAGGGGTCCTCCCTGAGCCGCCCCCCCCCCGTGTCCTGGTCATGCTTTGCACAGCACACCTGAAACACCCCACCTGCCACCTGGATGGCTTCCGTCTTTCTCCACTGCAAGCTCAGCTCCGGGAGGGAAAGGGCAAGTCCCTCTGCCTCGGTATCTCCAGCACGTAGCTTCACACATGACGGAGACCCCCCCACCCATATTTGTGGAGTCATTGGATGAGGGTACAGCCCTGTCCCAGGCCTGCTGGGGCAGCGTCCAGCCATAATTTGTCTTAGTCTGTTTTGCTTTAGTTTAAGGAAATATCTGAGACTGGATAACTTTATGGAGAAAAGACATTTGTGTTTATCCTGGTTCTGGGGGGTCCAAGGTCAGGGGCTGCATCTGGTGGTGGCCTCCTTGCTGGGAGGGTCCCACATCAGTGCAGGCACCAGGTGCAACAGACAGGGCGTCTATGTGCATCTGTCTCCTCTCTCTCCCTCTCTCTCTCTCTCTCTCTCTCTCTCTCTCTCTCTCTCTCTCTCTCTCCCCCTCTCCTTCCTTATAAAGCCACCAGGATTGAGTCATGGGAGCTCCCTCCTGACAGCTTTATCTAACTCTAACCCCTCCCTTGGGCCCTCCTGTAAACACTCTCTGAATTCCCCACAATAGGGATTAAATGTCAACACACAAATCCTAGAGGGACACCCAAGCCACATCCAAACCCCAGCACGACTGACACAGTGGATGGCAGACACCGTGGGAGTGAGCACAGGATGGCAGGAAACCTCGCCGTGCTGAGGGGTGAAAGCACCTGCCTGGGGGCCACTGTGAGCTGAGACCAAAAGGTGACAGGAGTCAGCCAACGGCAGAGGGACATTGCAGCAAGGGCAAGGTGAAGCTGTAGGGAGGCCAGGCAAGTGGACCCTGTGGAGGGGGTCAGCAGAGGGGCACCTGTGGAGGCCAGGGACCCAGCTCATTTCACTAGTGTCTTCATCTCCCACAGTGCCCTTGGCCTCAAATTTATGTTTACTGTTATTATTTTGGGGTACTGGGGTTGAACTTGGGGCCTGGCACTTAATAGGCAGATGCTCTGCCACTGTGGTTTTTAGTTTGTTTTGTGCTGGGGTCACTTTTCCATCTCCTGAGTAGCCGGGATTACAGACATAACCCACCATGCCCAGTCCTGATTCATTATTTTTATATATCTAAGATTCTCAGGATTTATTCTTCAGTCAGGGACCAGTGGCTCACGCCTGTAATCCCAGCTACTCAGATGGTAGAGATCAGGAGGAACATGGTTCAAGTCCAGCGTGGGCAAATAGTTCAAGAGACCCTATCTCAAAAAAAAAAAAAAACCCACCACAAAAAAAAGAGCTGGTGGAGTGGCTCAAGTGGTAGAGCGCTTGGCTAGCAAGCCTGAGGCCCCGAGTTCAAACCCCAGCACACACAAAAAAATTACATACAGCTAGATACATAGTTTAAATTATTCCTGAAGACATATACCTTTAAAACAATAGAAATGACTATACTGTTACAAAGGAGATGAAACAGTGTATCTTTACTTTGTTGTAATTTAGAGTTATTTTTATTCATGTTATTTAGTGTAAATTTAGGTATTAGTGAAATGCATGGCACTGAATAAGTTTAGGTGTTCTGCTGGTGGACACCACCACCTGTCCACCCATGGAACTTAGTTTATAAACGGAGAGTCTATAACTTACACGCTAACTCTGCACCCCCTCCCTCACCCGTTCTTTCTGTCACCATGAACTTGAGCACAGGTGAATCCGTGCAATCTTTGTCCTTTTGTGGCTGGCTTCTTTCAGAGTTCTTACAGGTTGTAGCGTATCTCAGAATTTCCTTCCTTTTCAAAGGCTTAATAATATTCCATTATCCAAAAGGTATACACATTTCAACAGTACATGTTACACATGTATAACATATACATGTCGCTGAGGCCCAGCGGCTCACGCCTGTAATCTTAGTGATCTGGAACGTGGAGATTAGGAGGACTGGGGTTCAAGGCCAGCCAACGCAAAAGACCCCACCTCAACCAAAGGCTGGGCGTGGTGGTGCCTGCCTGGCATCCCAGCAGACATGTAACTGAGACCCTGTTTCAGAAATAGCAAAGCAAAAATGGCTGGGGTGTGGCTGAAGCAGTAGAGCTCAAATCCTGAATTCAAGCCTTGAGTTCAAACCCCAGTACTCCATAAGTCGGGGGGCGGGCAGGTGGCAGGGTTCCAGCTTCATGGGTGAGGCCACAGTTCACTGTGGTGGTTTCCACTTCTCTGGTGATCACTACATGGCTCTAACAGTGCTGCTGGGTGAATGTGGGTGAATGTGGGTGGGTGGATGGACTGGTGGATAGCTCAGTGAATGGACACGGGTGAGCGGGAAATGGGTGTATTGGGAGATGGTGGGTGGAGGATGGGGAATGGGGTGTTGGAGACAGATGGTTCACATGCACAGGTGTGTCGATGGCAGATGAGTGAATGGATAGGCGGGAAGAGGGAGAAATGAACTGGTTAGAACATGGATGGAAGGGTGGGTGAGTGTGTGCACAGATGGGTGGAAGGGTAGCTGAGAGAAGGGTGGATAGAAGGACATGTGAATTTATAAACAAATGGATGGATGGGTGGATAGATGGATGGGTGGGTGGATGGATGGATGGGTGGATGGATGGATGGATGGATGGATGGGTGGATGGATGGGTGGATAGATGGATGGATGGGTGGGTGGGTGGATGGATGGGTGGATGGATGGATGGATGGGTGGGTGGATGGATGGATGGGTGGATGGATGGATGGATGGGTGGATGGATGGATGGGTGGGTGGGTGGATGGGTGGGTGGATGGGTGGTGGGTGGGTGGGTGGATGGGTGGATGGATGGGTGGATGGATGGGTGGGTGGGTGGATGGATGGGTGGGTGGATGGATGGATGGGTGGGTGGATGGGTGGGTGGGTGGATGGGTGGGTGGATGGGTGGGTGGATGGATGGGTGGATGGGTGGGTGGATGGGTGGGTGGATGGGTGGATGGATGGGTGGGTGGATGGGTGGATGGGTGGGTGGATGGGTGGGTGGGTGGATGGATGGGTGGGTGGATGGGTGGGTGGATGGGTGGGTGGGTGGATGGATGGGTGGGTGGATGGGTGGATGGATGGGTGGATGGGTGGGTGGGTGGGTGATGGGTGGATGGGTGGATGGATGGGTGGATGGGTGGATGGGTGGGTGGATGGATGGGTGGGTGGATGGGTGGGTGGGTGGATGGGTGGGTGGGTGGATGGGTGGATGGGTGGATGGGTGGATGGATGGGTGGGGATGGATGGGTGGATGGGTGGGTGGATGGGTGGATGGATGGGTAGATGGATGGGTGGATGGATGGATGGATGGATGGGTGGATGGATGGATGGGTGGATGGGTGGGTAGATGGATGGATGGGTGGATGGGTGGATGGATGGGTGGGTGGGTGGGTGGGTGGATGGGTGGATGGGTGGGTGGATGGGTGGGTGGATGGGTGGGTCGGTGGATGGATGGGTGGGTGGATGGGTGGGTGGATGGGTGGATGGATGGGTGGGTGGATGGGTGGGTGGATGGGTGGGTGGATGGGTGGATTGGTGGGTGGATGGATGGGTGGATGGATGGGTGGATGGATGGGTAGATGGATGGGTGGATGGATGGATGGATGGGTGGATGGATGGATGGGTGGATGGGTGGGTAGATGGATGGATGGGTGGATGGGTGGATGGGTGGGTGGATGGGTGGGTGGATGGGTGGGTGGATGGGTGGGTGGGTGGATGGGTAGATGGGTGGGTGGATGAGTGGATGGATGGGTGGATGGATGGGTGGGTGGGTGGGTGGTTGGATGGATGGATGGGTGGATGGGTGGGTGGATGGATGGATGGGTGGATGGGTGGATGGTGGGTGGATGGGTGAATGGGTGGGTGGATGGATGGGTGGGTGGGTGGGTGGTTGGATGGATGGATGGGTAGATGGATGGATGGGTGGATGGATGGGTGGATGGATGGGTGGATGGGTGGGTGGGTGGGTGGTTGGATGGATGGATGGGTGGATGGGTGGATGGGTGGGTGGATGGATGGGTGGATGGGTGGGTCGGTGGATGGGTAGATGGGTGGGTGGATGGATGGATGGGTGGGTGGATGGGTGGGTGGATGGGTGGGTCGGTGGATGGGTAGATGGGTGGGTGGATGGGTGGATGGATGGGTGGATGGATGGGTGGTGGGTGGGTGGTTGGATGGATGGATGGGTGGATGGGTGGGTGGATGGATGGATGGGTGGATGGGTGGATGGGTGGGTGGATGGGTGAATGGGTGGGTGGATGGATGGTGGGTGGGTGGGTGGTTGATGGATGGATGGGTAGATGGATGGATGGGTGGATGGATGGGTGGATGGATGGGTGGATGGGTGGGTGGGTGGGTGGTTGGATGGATGGATGGGTGGATGGGTGGATGGTGGGTGGATGGATGGGTGGATGGGTGGGTCGGTGGATGGGTAGATGGGTGGGTGGATGGGTGAATGGGTGGGTGGATGGATGGGTGGGTGGGTGGGTGGTTGGATGGATGGATGGATGGGTGGATGGATGGGTGGATGGATGGGTGGATGGATGGGTGGATGGGTGGGTGGGTGGGTGGTTGGATGGATGGATGGGTGGATGGGTGGATGGGTGGGTGGATGGATGGGTGGATGGGTGGGTCGGTGGATGGGTAGATGGGTGGGTGGATGGGTGGATGGGGGGTGGATGGGTGGGTGGATGGGTGGGTCGGTGGATGGGTAGATGGGTGGGTGGATGGGTGGATGGATGGGTGGATGGATGGGTGGGTGGGTGGGTGGTTGGATGGATGGATGGGTGGATGGGTGGGTGGATGGATGGATGGGTGGATGGGTGGATGGGTGGGTGGATGGGTGAATGGGTGGGTGGATGGATGGGTGGGTGGGTGGGTGGTTGGATGGATGGATGGGTAGATGGATGGATGGGTGGATGGATGGGTGGATGGATGGGTGGATGGGTGGGTGGGTGGGTGGGTGGATGGATGGATGGGTGGATGGGTGGATGGGTGGGTGGATGGATGGGTGGATGGGTGGGTCGGTGGATGGGTAGATGGGTGGGTGGATGGATGGATGGATGGGTGAATGGGTGGGTGGATGGGTGGATGGATGGGTGGGTGGATGGATGGATGGATGGGTGGATGGGTGGGTGGATGGGTGGATTGGTGGGTGGATGGATGGATGGATGGATGGGTGGATGGATGGGTAGATGGATGGGTGGATGGATGGATGGATGGGTGGATGGATGGATGGGTGGATGGGTGGGTAGATGGATGGATGGGTGGATGGGTGGATGGGTGGGTGGATGGGTGGGTGGATGGGTGGGTCGGTGGATGGGTAATGATGGGTGGTGGATGGGTGGATGGATGGGTGGATGGATGGGTGGGTGGGTGGGTGTTGGATGGATGGATGGGTGGATGGGTGGGTGGATGGATGGATGGGTGGATGGTGGATGGGTGGGTGGATGGGTGAATGGGTGGTGGATGGATGGGTGGGTGGGTGGGTGGTTGGATGGATGGATGGGTAGATGGATGGATGGGTGGATGGATGGGTGGATGGGTGGGTGGTGGATGGATGGGTGATGGGTGGATGGATGGATGGATGGGTGATGGTGGATGGGTGGATGGATGGGTGGATGTGGTGGATGGATGGGTGGATGGATGGGTGGTGGATGGATGGATGGATGGATGGGTGGATGGATGGATGGGGTGGATGGGTGGTGGTGTGAATGGATGGTGGATGGGTGGATGGATGGATGGGTGGATGGGTGGGTGGGTGGGTGGGTGGATGGATGGGTGGATGGATGGATGGGTGGATGGATGGATGGATGGATGGGTGGATGGATGGGTGGATGGATGGGTGGGTGGATGGGTGGGTGGGTGGGTGGGTGGTTGGATGGATGGATGGGTGGATGGGTGGATGGGTGGATGGATGGGTGGGTGGATGGATGGATGGGTGGATGGGTGGGTGGGTGGATGGATGGGTGGATGGGTGGGTGAATGGGTGGGTCGGTGGATGGGTAAATGGGTGGATGGAAAGATGGTGGATATGTGGGTAAGTAGCAGGGTACATGAGTGAGTCCTGGGATGGGAGATTAGTCCATACCCCTTGATCAAACACTGGCTTTCCTTTGTGCTGTCTCCAGCTGTCACCTCCATTGTGGGTCTGTTGGTTTTCCCAGTCACCCTGGCCTCTCCATTTGCCAAAGAAGCCTGTGAAGTCTCCTCCATGTACCATGGTGGGAAGTGCCAGCTGGGCTGGGGCTATGCAACTGCCATCCTCAGTGTGGTGCTGACCACCCTCCTGCCCCTCACTGAGGGGCCACGCATGGCGCAGGCCCAGGTTGTCCTCTTCTCCAGCAACACCCAGAGAATCATCCGTATAGAAATGAATAGATAAAGATCCCCAGGAAGAGCTGAAAATGTCCACAGGATGGAATCCCACTGTGGCTGCGTCCATGCCATGTGACCTCAGGCAAAGCAGGTCACCTCTCTGGACCGTCTTCTTCTCATGTAAAATGGAGCTGAAACCATGCTTGCCTCATGGGGCTGTTGTGAGATTTAACCTGCATGGTGTCTGGCACCTGGCTCTCCCTGGACCATAGCCTGGGGACTGCATCGAGAACTCAATGTCCTCATGACAGTGGGCATTGGCTGTCACTCAGACGGTGTGTCTTTTCAGACGTGGGCATTTTCTCTCTCTTCTACATAATCCCTCCTCTTGAACAATTAGAACATTCTTATTTCCCAGGACTCATCTAGTGAGCGCCTATTGTGTATGAGCTGGTGCTGTGATGGAGGGTGGGGACCCATCTCGCTCCCTGTGCAAATCATCCCAGTGATGTGGAGACATCGGGGCTCACGAGGCCCTTCAGAGCCAGGTCTGACATCTATCTTCAGGCTCCTTGTCACCTGCCCATCCCACACTGGGCCCCCAGTTATAATGACCTCGTACAGGCTCCTCCCCCACCCTGCAACTTTAGGTGTGCAATGCCGGGTGCTGGGGTCACTGTGCTTTCTGCTGACCATGACCCATCACTCCTCTTTGAGACCACAGCCCTGATCTTCCCTTGGGAAGTGACCCTGAACTACTCTCTGGACACTGTGGACTTAAAGATGGATGACTGACCCCATTTGGAACACCCAGGCTGGCCAGAATGGCCGGGTCAGAGCTGGGCAGGGGACTTGGGAGAGAAGAACCATGAGATGGAGAGGTGGTGCTCTGGGGACTTCACTGGAGCACCTGGGTCCAGCCATGCCTGCCCTCCATCTGTAGGAGATGTAGGTGCAGTAAGCTTGGCTAATGTAAATCCCAGGAAGGAGTCTGATTGGCCAGCACTGGTCATGTGTCCACCGTGGGCGGGGCCTGCGAGCAGGCAGAGTGGAGGCTGGTGCTAACGGGAGGTGCTGAGCCCATGACAATATTTGATGTTGACCGGCTCACTCTCTAAGGAGGGTTATTTATTATCCCCATTTCACAGAAGGGGAACTGAGGCTCAGAGAGGCAAAGTCACTTGTCCAAAACCACACAGCTGCTCAGTGGCAGAGCTGGGATTTGAACCCAGACCTGTGGACTCCATAGTGGAAGGATTTGCTCGCTGCCCCTCCCACTCAGGTCAGGTTGGTAAAACAGCCTGGTGTCACACGTCCACCCAGGAGTGTCCACTACTCTGAAAACACATGGATCACAGAGAAGGAGCTTGTGTTTGTCCATCAGAGAGGACAATAAGGAAAACTTGACTTGTTTTTATTTCTCTCTCTCTGCACTATGGAGCTGGGATTTGAACTCAGAGCCCTGTACCTTTGAGGCAGGTGTTTTACCACTTGAGTCCCTAGCCCTTTTTGTCTCTGTTTCTGAGATAGGGTCTCTGTTTATGCCTGGCCAGCTTGGACGGCAATTTTATTTATACTTCCCATACAGCTGGGACGACGAGTGTGTGCACCACCACACCTGGCTTTCATTAGCTGAGATGGGGTCTTCAGAACTTTTCTCCTGTGCTGGCCTTGAACCGTGAGTCTCCTGATCTTCACCTTCTGAGTAGCTGGGATCCCAGGTGTGGCCACCACCTGTCATCCAACAGGTCTGTGCAGGGCAGGCCAGGAAGAGCTGCACAAGGGGGTCTGTGCCTCCTGGGGCTGCAGGCTCAAGTGCTTCAGAAACCTAAGCTCAGAGAGCCACGGCCCTTCCTGACCAAGCAGTCAGAGGCAGAGTCAGTGAGGCATTGCTTCCGCCCAGAGCGTACAGCCTCCCCCAGCCTCTCCCCCCAGCCTCCCCCAGCCTCTCCCGACTCCCCCCAGCCTCAACCCAGTCTCCCCAGCCTCTCTCCACAGCCTCCTCTCAGCCTCTTCCCTCAGCCTCTCCATGCCCTCCTCCAGTGGCCTCCATCAGATCCCACCCTATCTGCATTCTCTTGACCTGCAGAGACTCACCTAGAACCTGACTGAGGCAGATGGTGGGGACACAGGGACAAGGGGTTCCCACCAGGAACGTTGTCCCAATGGCCATGCTGAGGGGCTGCAGTAAGGAGAAGGTCCAGCACAAGCCAGAGCCAAGGGAAGCTTTGTCACCCCAAGTCACAGATGTGAGAAGTCAGGCTTGGAGACACGGAGCTCCTAGCCACGCCACACAGCCCTAGGTAGCAGATCCCCTGCAAACTCCTCCTCAGCTTTGCTGGCCCCTTAGGAAGCCTGGATTTCTCTGTGTAAACCTGGAAGTCGTTTTTTCTTTTGTGTTTTTTTAACTTTTCAGTGCTGGGGAAGAAACCAGGACCTTGTGCACGCCAGGCACCAGCCCCAACCCAGCTGCACACGGCCAGCTCAAACCTGAACTTTCCACGGTGCTCCTGGGAGTGGTCCAGTTTCTGCAACTGAAGACCATGATTTCACTTGGTCCAGGTTTAGAGACCACGGGGTGACCCACTGCCTGGGACTGTGGTCCCAAAAGGCAGCCACCATGAGACGCAGGCAGGGCTGTGGGGACCCAGGCCCTGAGGGGTGTCAGAGGTCTCGGCTGGGAGATGCTGACAGCATCGGGGTATAGGTATTGACCTGAAGGCACAGTCCATGCCAAATGGCTGGCCAAGGGGGCCTGCGGTGCACTGGACTTGGGGGAAGGTAAAGTGGACTGCTTCAAAAAATGGCTCTACAGTCAGCCCTCGGATCTGTGGGAGAGGGGCTCCCAGATGCCTGCGGATACCAACAGCCAGGAGGCCGCAGCCCCTTCCATAAAGCGATGTAGGATTTCACAGAAGCTGACATAAGTCAGGGTCACATCCGATAGATGGAAGTGACCGTCACACTGCATTGTTCAGGGCACAGTGACAGGAAGAAGACCATCTGGATTCAGCACAGAGGCCCAGTTCTTCAGTGAAGTCCTCAGAGGCCGACTTCTTGACCCTGCCTGTGTCCGAGCTCCTTCTCAATGTCGCTTGTCAAACTGCCCCACCTTTGGGTCTGTGCTCTGACAGAATGTGCCAGAGACAAAGGCCAGGCCACAAGACACCTGGCACGTGTCTGCTTACCCTCTTGGATCCGCTGTCACGGCTGTACACAGAAGCCTGAGCTAGCTTTCCAGAGGATGAGAGACATGTGACTCAGTTTCCCCCACTCAGCCCGCAGCCAGCCAGACGCATGACACAGGGTGGCTTCTTTGGTGGCCAGGTGACGATTGACATAGGAAGAGATCAGAAGAGCTGCCCAGCGGAACACAGTCCCAACTGCTGACCACAGAATCAGGAACAAAACACATGGCTACCTGCAGCCATCATCTTTCTGTGGTTTGTTGGGTGCATTGCTGGTGGTGACAGCCAGCTGTGATAAGAAGTCAGGAGTGACTCGAGTCACCAGCCTCAACCTCTCTGGGGAGAAGTCAGGTCGCTGTCGTGAGGCTTTGACCCCACCTGGGGATAGGGTGGGGTGGGTGGGGATCGGGTGCAAGGACTCAAGATTTCAGAAGCAAACACTTATTTTCCTTTCAAATTAAAAAAATAAATAAATCCGAAACCAAGAAACAAAAAAATCAACGCAGATCCACGTGTTTCTCTGCTCATATATATTTTCTCTAGATACAGACACAACTCTTCAGTAAACATTTGCAAGATACGTGGGCAACGCTGACAAAAACGGCACTTGATGGACAGACCAAGTCCCACACAGTCACGTCCAGGACACAGGGACACACACGCAGACAGACGTCAGAACTGAATAAATATGGGTCACTCCACACCATGACCACACGCGCTCGGGAAGTAGGAGGGAAAGCAGAGATCTGTGCTGTGCTCTGAGACTAGTCTGTTACAAAAATAAACAGGAATCAGGAGGTCTGGGACCCGGCCATGCCAAAATAATGTCCTCTGTTGGGACAGCTGAGTGCCAAATAAACCTTTATCTGTCAGGACAGGCTTCCTTCTTGAGTCTTCTCCCATGGCAAGGGGCCAGGGGACTGGGATGGGGGCTGTGACTCTAGCAGCAGCTGAAGGCGTCACCTCCCCTGCTTGGTGACTGGGGCAGGGGCTACTGTCCATCCAGCCTTCCATGGAGCTGTCCACAGGGTCCGGGGGACATCCAGGCCTCTCTCTGTCCATCCCGCCCCCCTGTCTGTCTGCCCATCCTGAGGAGGGTGGGAATCAAATGCAGCAGAGTGAGGCTGAGGGACAGAAGTCATCCCAAGCCAGCAGGGCAAGGGCTCTGTCCGTCCATGCCAGAGCTTCAGTCCCCATGTCCTCCCCTCTTTGAAGTCCTAGCTGGCACCCCAACCACCCAAGAGGCTGCAGATTCTCCCCGCTCTACAAAGGGACACATGGGCTGCAGGACCCGCACGTACTCAGGGCTGTTTGTGGAGAGGTGGCCATTGGCGGGAAGGTGGAAAGGGGACTGTCCTAGACCCAGCATGGCCCTGGCTCCAGTTCTCATGTAAAACACAGGCCAAGTGTCCCCCTCCTTCCTCCTCTTTCCTGAGTGAGCAAAGCCCTCCCTGACGAGGACATCTCTGGGCCTCCGGGCCCCACACCCATAGGAGTGCGGAGAGCCAGGCCTCCCCTGGGAGGAGGACAGTGGGCGCTCTGCCCTGGACGGGGCCTGAACCTCAGACTCTGACATTTCTGGCTCTGTCTCACTTCAAGAATGACCTCTTGCCATTAGGCAGAGAAGAAAAGAAAGAAATGGAAGGAAAAGGCATCCTGGGCTCCAAGGGCAATGTGCGAAGGACTTCCTGTGCTTTTCCTAACTGGGAGCGGGAGGCCCTGGCAGAAGATGGCTTCCTACAAAGAAAGCGGCCAGGTCCCTCTGGAGCCCTCTAAGCCAGTGCTTTTCAACAGGAGGCAGTTTTGCCGGCAGGGGACATCTAGCGATGTCATGACCGGGGTTAGGGCGGTCAGGGGTGCTGTTCAACACCCTACAATGCACAGAGCGTCCCCATCACAGGCAATTTGCTGGCTTCAAACGTCACCAGTGCTGAGAGGAGAGACCCTGCTGTAAGCCAGGCTCCCAGGCATGTTCTGGAATATTCCGAAGGGTTTTAGGGTATGGAGGGAGCCCGAAAGAGCTCTCCTACATCTATTCCCTAAAAAGTGCCTTTCCTAGTCTCACCAGGAAAGATGAGAAAGGGACAGGGGACCAAGGAGGAGGACAGCTGGGATAGGAGGCCTCCTTTACCCACCTATGACCCCAACTCCACGAGAGGGAGAAATCCCAGCCTCGGCCATCTTTGGTCAAACAGGAAAACTTAAAGCTGAGCTGACGGGGCCACCCCCAGTCCCACTGTCCCGAGCCAGTCAGGGGCGTCTTTCTCTCTGCACAGACGTCCATGCTCAGCAGACACCAGGACCTCGCTTGGCCGCTCCGGGAGGAGGAGAGGGCAGAGGACAGGCAGGTGGCGCCCAGCCGGCCGGCCGGCCTGGTCGTCACTTGTTCTCAATCAGTGTCTGCACTTTGTACACGAGGTCCCGGGCCAGCTGCAGGACTTGCTTCGTGTCATGTCGCTCTGCCATTTCTGAAAGAACAGAAGGCAAATCCCATGAGCCACTTCTGTGCTCATCTTGGGAGCCCCCCCACCCCCAGGTAGCAGCACAGAATGCTCTGGAAGCAGAGACGCGGGGACAAGCTTGCACCTCCAGACCCATTCATAAGGCGAGCAACAGAAAAGCAGCTGAGGTGCAAGGTTACCATGGAGCCAGGTGCCATGTCTCATGCCTGTAATCCCAGCTACTCAGGAGGCAGAGAGCAGGAGGATCATGGAGCAAAGGCAGCCAAGGTAAACAGTTCTCGAGACCCTATCTCAAAAAACCCTTCACAAAAAAGGGCTGGTGGAATGGCTCAAGTGTTAGAGCACCTGCCTAGTAAGTGCAAGGCCCTGAGTTCAAATCCCAGCACCAGCAAAACAAAAAACAGAAAAAAAAGAGCAGAGCCCTGGCAGGCACAGTGTCTGCAGAAGAGGGTGGAGGAGAGAAGGAAAGAGAAACAAAAATAATTGTGAGAGCCACAAAACGTTTAGATCGGCAAACCTTTACATGAAGCAGAATAACCCTATAAACTTAGACATTTATCCCAAAGAAACCAAGACCATGGCTCCTAAGCTGGGTGCCAAGGCTCCCCAGGGCTCCACCATGCGTGAGTGCCAGTCAGTGGGGGACCTCCTCCCACGGCCTGGTTCTCAGGGGCTCAGCACCCTGTGAACACCATGGTGGGACAGGAGATGAGGTGGCAGGTGTGACCTGATGACGGCACAGTCCAACAGGAACAACTCAGAACCCATAATAAGTAAGTGAAGTTATTCAAGAATGAAATTAAAATGTTTCTTTCAATTTGCAGGAGTTATTCTCCTTTGTGGAATGGTTACTAAGCTGATAAGATGTTGCAATTTATTAAGCTGTTCGGACCCAACTACCAAATGGAACTTTTGGCTTTGTCTGCTGTGATTTTTTTGTTTTGTTTTGTTTTTTGAGATGGGGGGGGTCTAGTACGGAGCCCAGGTTGGCCTCGAACTCACAATCCTCCTGCTTCTGCCTCCTGAGTGCTGGGACTACAGGCGTGCACCACCACGCCGGGCTGTACAGGTTTTACAGACACGTTAGAGTACAATGCACTCAGCAAACCCCTAGTTTTAGTTTTTAAATAATGATAACAGTAGCAACAGCTTTCATCTCCAGCCCCGACATGGGCCAGGGGTCATGTGACAAAATGTGTCACGTGGTCTCCTTTGGTCCTGGGGACTGCCCTACAGGGACAGGGTGCTACACCAAGGCCCAGACATGAGAGGTCTGGAGCCCCTCAGTCGCAGCCCCGCCCCCAGCCTCGGCCCCGCCCTCAGTCGCAGCCCCGCCCCCAGCCTCGGCCCCGCCCTCAGCCTCGGCCCCGCCCCCAGCCTCGGCCACGCCCCCAGCTTCGGCCCCCGCCCCCCGTCTCGGCCACGCCCCCAGCTTCGGCCACGCCCCCAGCTTCGGCCACGCCCCCAGCCTCGGCCCCGCCCTCAGCCTCGGCCCCGCCCTCAGCCTCGGCCCCGCCCCGCCGTGCGTCACCATTGAAGAACTTGATGATCTCCGTGAAGTCCATGTTGTTCTCCAGGATGATGTCACGGTAGACCTCCACCAGGGCCAGCGCGATGAACAGCACGTAGTGGGCGGACGACACGTGCTTGGCTGCCCAGATGGTCTCCCAGACGGAGAAGACGTCGTCGTAGACGAGCTCTACAGGGACGGGCGCGGGGACAGCGCGCACCTGGTCAGGTCTCGGATGGCGAAGCTGCACTTCGCACGCGAGGCACGCGCGACATAACCCTATTCCTAGGGTCAGAGGGGCGTCTGCGAAGCAGCGTGACGCTGGCTTTGGAGGTGGCTCTGCCATTCCTGGCTCAGCCCCGGTTGTCACCTGTGACGTGGTGACACGCCCAGCCCGGCTGCACAGCGTCACTGCCAGGCCAGCAGGTGCACCGAGGGTGACACGTGTCCTTCTGCTGCCTAGGCTCCAGGACCTGCATCTCCCCGGGGTTCCCTCCCCTCAGGCTCTGCTGCAGAGTGTGGGGACAAGGCTCCAGTTTGGGGCCCATACCTCGCTTGAAGTCCAGCAGGAACCAGCGGTAGCAGAAGTAGAAGTGAGTGTAATCCCCATTTTGATGCATCAGCTCAAACAGCTCTGAGTCCAGGATCTGTGGGAGGAAGGGCACATCGGTCTTGGGGAGAGGCTGGGGACAGCAGAGTCAATGATGGCCCCAGCAGCCAGGTGCGATGAAAAGTGACCAGAGGATTGGAACAGACATCTCTCCAAAGATTACAAATGATGAGTGAGCACACAGAAGATGCTGGGCCCAGCAATCATTAGGGAAATGCAAGTTAAAGCCAGGCATTTCTCAAGGAGTTAACACAGTTATGGCAAGGTTCCCAATCCCACACGGAGGGTTAATTCCAAGAGAAATGAAGACATATGTCCACAAAAATTTTGTACATGGTCGTGCACAGCAGGACCATTCAAAACAGCCCTCAGCTGGAAATGACCGGAAACAGTCCACATGCAACAGACGAATCGACAAACAAAACGTTGTATGGCGGGTCACAGAATATTATTGTGTAATAAAATGAACATACTAGCAAACAACTCACAGAAAGCAATTCAAATGAATCAAAAGAAAATTTAAAAAAGGAAATATACTAAAAAGGAAATATTAGTATCAAGTAAGGCTGGGGGTTTGGCTCAAGTGGTAAAGCACCTGTGTAGCAAGCGTGAGGTCCTGAGTTCAAACCCTAGTACCACCAAAAAAAGAGACAGCACAAGTAAAATCACATGGAGTTCTAATTGTACCCAAGACATTGGCTGAGACTTGGACGTGTGACAATATCAAGTGAGCGTAGACTGTGTTAAAAACCCTTAGACACTGCAGAGAAACCATATAGTCCTCTGGAGGGACCCGGCCACGTCCAGCAGAGCCACAGACACATAGGATGCACAGACATGCTCTGATGCAGCTGCACATATGGGAGATGTGCACAAACCTTCCACGGCTGCAGAGTTCCTAAAGCCCAAACCCGACCTCCAGGTCCTCCAGACAAACCAAACCAAACCAAAACAGAAACAACCTGGAGCCTACCATCAGGGAAATGGGCAGGTAAAATGGGACCTCACGTGTGATATGCTCCCAAGAGGGAAGGGGGACTTCAAGGACAGTGCTGAAGAGGGTCATACGCCCGAGACTGAGCACAAGGACAGAAAAGCCACACTATTTAAAGTGCTGCATCAGAGGGGAGCTTGAGATTTGAGATTTGGAGTCATCAGTTGTTTAGCAAAGCAGGTTTTGTTTTTGGTGGAACTGGGGCTTGAACTCTGGCCTTTGCACTTTCAAAGCAGGTGCTGTACCACTTAAGCCACACCTCCTTTACATTTTGCTCTGGTTATTTTGGAGATGGGGTCTCAAGAACTATTTTTCTGGGCTGGCCTCAAACCACAATCTTCCTGATCTCAGCATCCCAAGCAGCCAGCTTTACAGGCGTGAGCCACTGGAGTCCAGCTAAAACAGGACTCTTGATAAACATCCCGTCTAGACAGTGGCCACCCCAGGGAGGACAGGAATGGGGTCCTTGAAGGCCGAAATTCGGGCAGGGTGGAAATGTGAGTGTTTGTCGTATTAACGTTTCTACCTATTTTACGTTCAAAATATTTGGTGACATTTTCTAACTTCTCCAAAGAAGAACCAGAACTTGGATTATTTTGTAGTGCCATTGCTGGTGTGTGGATGACAAGGTACCCCATCATTTCCTGGGGTTCACAAACACCTCGCCACCCCTTGCACTCCATGGGGTGAGTGTCTCCATCCCTCTGGGGAGTAGAACGGTGAAAGAGCCAGCATTTCCTTCAGCACTTCCCCAGCTTGACTTTGAGTGAGAGTTAGTGGGGAGCCCCCTAAGACACTGGGCGCAAGTCTCAGGGCTTCTGATTGGCTGGGGGAGGAAGTTATAATTTGCATTTATAACAAGTGCTCAAGTCTCAGGGCTTCTGATTGGCCAGAGGAGGAAGCAGTCATTTGCATTTATAACAAGCTCTCCGGTTATGCTGCTGGCCCATAGCAGGCATGGGGCTGAGCCCTATAAATTTAGTCACTTATCTCATTTCCATAACTAATAATTTATTGGGAGTCACATCAGTGGGTAAATAACCCATTTTCCAGATGGGGAAACTGAGACCCTGGAAAGGAAAGCCTATGCCATATACAGCCTCAAGTAGCAGAACAGGGTCCCCAGCAGGACGCACAGGGACGTACCTGGATCAGGGACCTCATGTTGGCGAAGTGGGTGTCCATAGCACCCCCGTGGGGGAAGTTCTGGGTCATCCTCTTCATGAGCTCCGTGAAGCAGCTGAAGGCCAGGGCCTCTGGGGAGCAGCGCAGGACAAGGGTCAGTTGCACCCCTGCCCAGACCGGGGCTCCCACAGGGATGGCCTGGAGCCCAGTGCACTGTACCCGCAGCAAATGGGACAGATGGACAGGTGGACAGACAGGGAGGGCCCGGGGTTCCCATAAAGGGCAGAGCTCTCACAGATCCCCTGCTGTGCTTTCCTGTGAGAGGAGGGGGAGGAGGGGGGATAAAGGGGAGAAGGGGGTTATGTCTTGTCCCTGACCTAGGGGACAGAGGCCAGTGAGTATGGTGCTGGGATTTGTGGGGTTACCATGGTTAGTAAGATCCCTTTTATTTCTAGTTTGTTGAGTTCTTGTCGTGAAACAGTGTTGGACTGTCTGATGTTGCCCTATATCAGTTAAGGTGACTGTGGGTGTTCTGTCCTTTAGTTTATCACTGTGGTGACTTACATCGTCGGATTTTTGTGTGAGTCACCCCTCATTCCTGGAGAAAGCATGGTGTGCAACCCTTTTGTACCTTGCTGGTTCTGCGCTGGTGTTTTGATGAGGTTTTTGCTCTTCTATTCATGAAGGACATTGGTCTGCAGTTCTCGTGGGGGACTTGTCTGGTATGTGAGCAGGGCGGGTGAGGAGCCCTCCCTACCGTCCTGATTCTTCTTTCAGTGCTGAAGGATTCAGGGTGGAGCCCGTGGGCCTGGGGGTTTCTTGGGGTTTCCTATAGATATTCCTACAGTCAGTGATTAGCTGGGGTGTGGCAGGCTCCTGGCGTGGGGCACTGTGGCCTGCGAGAACCTTGACCTCCATGGAGTCACAAGGTGAGGTGGACCCTTCCTGGGGCGGGAGGACACTCACCGTCATCCAGGATGACCAGCAGTGGAGCCAGAAGATCACACATGCCCTGGACATAGCCGATCTCGATGTGCTGCCAGATGTAGCTGCGAGAGAGGAAGGCCCATGATGGTACCAGCTCGGGCCTGCACCCCACTGGACCCAAGGCACCCCGAGTCTCCCCAGCTTGCTTCTTTTTCTGGTGTTTTGAGGCTGGCCTTGAATTTAGATCCTTCTGCCTCCAGGAGGGCACTGCATCTTTTACTTTTCAAAACAGTTATAGGAAATGAGTCTCATTTTGCTCACTCTTCACAGAGGGGGACACTGAGAACGAGAGGTAAATGACACACTTGGTCATCTACTTAGTAATGAATGACATCAGAATATGAACCCAGGACGCCCTACCTGGTGCATGTGGTCATAAATTCCATGTTAAATGCTTTCTTTAGATTTTTCTTAGTTTTATAAAAGTCACTGCCTCTGGGAGGCTCTCCAGGATTTGTCCTCATGCCATACAGGCCACAGTCAGTTTCAGACTGCCTTTGTCCAAGCACTACTGTCTTTTTGATGTAATATTCATCATACTGAAGTGTAGCTTAGCAGTGAGAGACCTGTGTCATACACTACCGGAGCAGGGTCTTGCTTGTCTTACCCAGTGTGCAGTGTCCAGTCAATCAGATCTGGCACTTAGTGTCTCACTCTGCACACTCACTAAGCGGCCAGCAGTCTGACTCCAGGCAACAGCCACGACCACAGAAGGGAGGAGACAAACTCTGATTCCCTTCAGCGAGGTGTGGGCCACTGTCACATTTTAGGAAATGCCAAGAGAAATTATTTAATAATGAGCTCGTCACTGCCTGGCTGGACACCCAGCCCATGAGGCTCCCTGAGTGTCACAGTCTCACAGCGGGTGACACCTGTGTCCCTGTGGGTGACACTTATTCTACGGACTGATGGAGGACTAAGAGGAGCATGGCAAGCGCTGGCGACAGTGCCGGGTATACAGCAAGTGCTTAATCGAATCCGTGTTAGCACCGTCATTAGCTGTCTGCTAACGAAGGACTCCAGCTGGGTGTGGTGCTAGCTGCCCAGGCTGAGGCCCGCGGGATCCCCTCTGTCCCCAACCTGCACCTGATGCTGTGCAGCCCCCACATCACGTCCCACGTCAATGTCCCCTACACCTGCACACGTCACACCCCGCCCCCGCACATGACGTCACCCGCACCGAACGTGACGTCATCCTGCACATGACGTCACTCCGCACATGACATCACCGCACATGACGTCAGTCCCCCTCCCCCCTCATGCACATGACGTTACGCAGCCGCTCCAGGTTGGCTGGCGTGAAGAACCAGTAGCTGCGGTCGCAGCGCTGCACATCCTTCTCGATGCGGTGCAGGTTCACCGTGTACAGGTCCAGCAGCTCCGGCTACGAGGAGGACACGGTCACCCAGGTCCCCAGGGACGGTCCCCTCCTCCCCCTGGTCCTGTTCTGTCCCCTCCTCCCCCATCCTGTCCTGGGGTCCCCCCATCCTGGGCACATGGGAGGAGCGTCCCCCACAGTGGTCAGCTGCTTGACCCTGGCTGCCGGCTTCCTGGGACCCGTCCCGGGAAACTCTCCTACTCCCGTTCCTTTCTCAACAGAACCACTGGTGAGGTGTGGGGCCCTCATCTTATGAATGAGATGAGGCCTAGGCTACAACTGGGCTGGCTCTGCCTGCCCCCCAAAAAAAAAACGCGCAAGGAAGTGAAGAATTGAAGGCATCAGTCCTGGAGCCATACTGGACCACAGCCTTGACCACCAACCCCTGAAATGGATCAATGATAAGGAAAGACAATAAGGAGCTTTTAAGGGTCAAAGTCACCCAGAAAAGCAGAACCTGGGTTTTGCCTGGAAGGAAGCAGGCAAACCTGGAGAATTGAGCACAGGTTTAACTGTTGGTGCCTCTCAAGGGATTGGATCGAACAAGCGACCTTCCCAAGCAAGGTGGGGGGGGGTGGGAACCACCCCACCCAGTAAGGGAAGACGCTAGGAAAAAGCCCGGCAGGGAGCGTTCCCCCCCAAACTGGTCAGCTGCCTTTGACCTGGCTGCGCGCTTCCCTGGGACCCGTCCCGGGGGGAAACCTCTCCTCACTCCTGTTTCCTTCCTCTCAAACAGAACCACTGGGTTGGGAGGTGTGGGGCCCTCATCTATAATGATTGAGCATTCGAGAGCTAGGCTACAACACTGGGCTGGATCTGCCTGCCCCCCCCAAAAAAAAACCGCACAGGAAGTGAAAGAATTGAAGGCATCCAGTCCTGGAGCCATACTGGACCACAGCCTTGACCACCAACCCCCTGAAATGGATCAATGATAAGGAAAGACAATAAGGAGCTTTTAAGGGTCAAAAGTCACCCAGAAAGAGCCAAGAACCTGGGTTTTGCCTGGAAGGAGCAGGCACAACCTGGAGAATTGAGCACACAGGTTTACTGTTGGTGCCTCTGCCAAGGGATGATCGAACAAGCGACCTTCCCCAAGCAGTGGGGGGGGTGGGAACCACCCCCACCCAGTAAGGCAAACCTAGGAAAAAGCCCCAGTAGTTCTGGGATCCAAACAGAACTTGCCCGACTGAACCTTGATCACCAGCAGTAAATTTGGTTGTGAACATCTCTCTGGATGACTGGAAGACAACGGTCAGTCCTGTAACCCAAAATTCCCACTGCCTGGGCCATGTGAAAGGTCAGGCATCTAGTTTAAAGTCATCTTGGCTTCATTATGCTCCTGGGTCCTAGGATAAACAGCTGGGGTGGCTCACATCTGTAATCACCTGTACTTGAGAGGCACACATTAGGAGGATTGTGGTTTTGAGGCCAGTTCGGGCAAAAAACTAGCAAGACCCCATCTTAGTCAAGAAGCCAGGTGTGGCGGTGTGCGGCCTTGGTCCCAAGCGTACACTGTAGACATAGGTAGGAGGCTGTGTCTGAGCCAGGCCCCAGCCAAAGAACTTATTGAAAAGCAGCCAAAGCCAAAAGGGGCTAGCGGGTGCAGCTTCTGGTGTACAACAGCCATCGCTTTCACAAGTGCAAAGCCCTTGAGTTTCCCAAACCCAGTATCTCCCACAAATGTCATCGCCTCTTGAGGAATCTGCTTTCACTCATTGGATCAAAATCCCCATGGAACAAATGAAAGTCGAGTTCAACTCAACCAAACACTCCAGCAGAATAGGCGAACCACTGAACCGAGACAGCAGGAAATAGAAGACAACAGCGCGGTGTAGTCACGAACCCTGGCAGCGTACCCTCCACTGTCCATGTACCAATGGCGCCATCAGGGACCGAATCATACCAAATACGTCTTGTTTTCATAACGATTTAAACGAAGTAAAGGCCAAGAGTCTACATAGAACACCATACAATCAAAGGCCAAGGCCACTTCCATTAGCATACTTTTGGAAAACCAACCAAGTAACCTTCAAAAAACCCGCCTTGTTAAACAACCACTCGTTTAGAGAAACATAACAGAAAATCAGACAGCTTTTGTTTCACTTGCCGTGGACAAGTGGGTCTACACCGCAGCTATCAACCCAGCCCGCTTAAAAAGTGAGGGTGCCTCGTGTTAGTGTGTCTCAGTTAAGACACAGTCTGAGGAGACTCATCCGCGGATCTAGCAGGGAAATACAGACCAGGACAGACATTCTGAGGTTGAAGCCCAGAAGGGAAAGTCACATGGTAGCGAGCGTGGATGGTCTCACACAACATTAGAAGCCCCAACGATGGAGAGAAAAAGGGGACTAGGCCACTCTGCAGGAAGTAAAAGACACTTACCCAGAACTGAACCAAAGACACAGGCAATTTGCAGATCCACAAAAGGCCCAACACAAATAACTGGCGAAGGAACAAAAAGGAAATCCACATCTCGACACACAATACACGAAAAAGAGAATCTTGAAAGTAGAGAGACCGGGTGTGATGGCTCACGCCTGTAATCCCAGCTACTTGGGAGGCTGAGATCAGGAGGATCTCAAATGGAGGCCAGCCTGGGCAAATAGTTCTGGAGACTTCCAGCTCCAAAATAAACAGAGCAAAATGGAGTGGAGATGTGGCTCAAGTGGTTAGAGCGCAAAGCCCTGGGTTCAAACACCAGTCCCACCAAAAAAAAAGAAGAGGCAGGCAGTGGGGAAGGTGAGGCTGCGTAAAGGAAACCGCAAGTGAACAGGTGGCGTTCTCCACGGCAACCATGGATTTCAGAAGGAAGTCAGATGCTCCTCCAGTTAAGGCCTGGGGTCACAGCCCGCTAAGCTTGTCCTGAGGTGCAGTATGGGGTAAAACACATTTACTGCCAGCCGCTAGCACCCGGAGCTCAGCCGCATGCACGAGGTGATGAGGGCTGTCCCCTCCCTGACAGGCTGACTGTGAGCTGTCATGGGTGACCGTGAGTGCCATGGGTTGACTGAGTGTACACAGGATGACCGTGAGTGTCTCAGGGATGACTGTTAGTGACACAGGATGCGTGGTGGGTGTCTTTGGGGTGACCATGAGTGTCACCAAATGACCATGAGTTGTCACAGGGTGACCATGGAAGTGTCATGGGTTGACCGTTGCTTATCACTGAAAGTTCCACATTCAGACCGAAAGCCCCAGACAGTGCATTCTTGCCCCATTGTGAGGCTGAAAACATCGCAGTGTCACCTCCATGCTGGAGCCACACATTCAGTAAGACATCGTCCAAGGACGTCAGAGAGCAAATGCCACTAGGAGATGAACTCTGCTCAGAAGGGACATCACAGGCACAGGCACCCAGCCTCACCATGATGAAGAACAAACTGTGAGCGACACCGAGAGGTCAGCGCAAACGTGGAAAGTGAGGACTAGACCCCGGAAACAGGGCCGAGCTGGGGAGAGGACGCCAGGGACCAGGGATGGGGCGCGGGGCTGTGGCTGGTGAGCAAGGGGCGTCTGAGGACACAGCTGGAAACTGCGGAAGGCTGGACGCAGACCAGAGATTGGCAATGTCCAGGAAAGCGACGTGCTGCACCGAGAAGTCACTGTTGGGAAACCAGTCCTGTTCCTGCCCTCGAAACTGGGGGCTGGGGTGGATGGGGGATCGAAGCTACGTGTTCTGTTTCCACGGGGTCAATCGATTAATGCATAAAACCAACAACAAAACAAAAAAAAAACCTCAAGAAGCAGCAACAGAAGTGCGTGCAGTTGTGCAATCACGGCAGATGTTTGGGCAGAATAAGAAAACACGCGTGACTCTCGGGAGGCTAATGGGGAAGAGAAAGGACAGACAGCTGCGGGGTTTTTTTTCTCTTTTTTTTCTTTAAGAGATAGAGTCTCGCCATGTCCCTTACAATGCTTGCCAAAGCACACAGGACTTTAGTGTGACAATTCCGCAAATACCTGGGAAAAAAGGCACTGAACAGAGGGGGAAAATGCCACGGTGATTTGCCAGTGCTGAGACTTGAACCCAGGACTGCTCATGTGCTCCTGAAACCCTTCACTTCTGGGACCAGGAAGCACCTGGGGGTTTTTGAGGTTTGGAATTTTTGCAGGTGTACAATGAGATATTTTGGGTTGGCACCAAGTCTGAACAGGAAGTTCATTTGGCTTCATATCACCTGTGCTCTTACCCTGAAGGTCATTTTGTACATTTTATGTTGCAACCCATTATATCGAGGTTGGGTGTTGAATTTTCCACCCTGCTGTCAGGTTGGCACTCACAAAGATTCAAATCTTGGAGCATTTTGTTAACAGGTTTTAAAAATTTCTGAGGTGGGGTCTCTCCAGTCTCCTGGGTCATGCCATCCTCCCGCTCAGCTCTCTCAAGTAGCTGGGACGGACTACAGGCGCGCACCACTGTACCTGGCTGAGGGCATTTGGATTCGGATTTTCGCGATTAGAGACATTTGCCCTTTGTTACCCTCTGTCCCCTAAAGGGTTTTCTACAGTGAATCTCCCATGATAGGGAAAATGAGACAACCAGACCCCCCTCCTGGGTTGCTCACATTCAGCGAGGTTTTGAGGTCCAGCCTCACCTTCCCAACCTAGAGGTGGAAATTCGTGTGAGGAGTCCCGGGACTTACGGAGTAGGTCACACCACTGGAAGACACGGGTGATGCCTCATTGTTGGCAGCGGTCACGGCCAGGGAAGCCAGGGCAGGGAAGAGGCTCTTCCATCTCCGGCTCCTCTGAGAGATTGTCCTCACTGTTCCCCTGGCTGTGTTTCTCCACCTCGCTGCCCGCCAGCTCTCCATCGCAGCACCGTCCTTGTCAGGCAGGGCCGCATCCAGGCTGCCAGTGATGGACATGAACTCGTCCATGCTCTCGTTGGCCAGGAGGTCACTCTCCAGGCTGTCCTGCACGGCCAGCTCCTCGCGGGGGGCCTTTCCCGGGACGTGGTGGTCTCACTGCTCTGCCCGTCGTCCACGCTGCCGTCTCCAGGTCGGAGCACAGCGGGGACGCTGCGCTGGGCGTCCAAGACACTGTCTTCTTGGTGCTGAGGCTGGGCTCCGAGTGCTCTGACAGGCCCGAGGAGAAAGTTGTGGGAAGAAGGGTGACCGGAGTCTGGAGAGCAAAGTGCCGTTGGCCAGGCTCCCATTGGGGCACCTTGGGCTGTTTCTCCTCCAGCCTGCCTTCCCCCTCCACCTGCTCCACCTCATCCACTGACTCAAACACCTGAGGGGAAGGTGCAAAGAGATGGGCCAGGATGTCTGCTGTAGCCTTGTGTACAGCAGCACTAAATAGCCAGCTGCGGGGGATCAGGTTCAGCACGGAAAACACACACAGAGGAATACTATACAGCCAGTGAAAAGAGTGAGGTAGAACCAGGAGTAATGTATGCTCCCGTTTGTGACAAATAAATAAGTAATCTGTGCACTGTGTAGCAACAGGACATCCAGAAGGAATAGAGAGAGCATTGCAGTGGACTCTGAGGAGGGTTTCCAGGGAATTGATGTGAGGACAAATAACTTTTCACCACACAGACTTTTGTCTTTTAATAAAACTGGATTATTTCCAGTAGCTGAGTCTAATGGGTCAACTTTCAAAACTAGTTAGGAATAGAAACATAAAAATGCTCCAGAGCACACTTTAAAGATTTATGTGGGGTTTTTTTTGGAGGAGGGGGTCTTTGGTCTGCATCTATTCAAACACTGACAGTGAAATAAAGGTTCAAAGGCACATGTCCATTTCCCCTCTGTGTGGTGATGTCGCTCACTTGATATAAAGTTAGCTGACCACCTCCATGCTGCTCCACTGTTTCCACAGTGGGCAACCCCAATTCTGCACGGATATTGACATTTCCTCCCCTACAGGACATTTTTGGATTTGCATTTTTCTTTAACAGTAAGCGAGATCATGTGACATTATCAAAGCCATCTTTGTTTCTGTGTGCTGAGGCCCCCAGAGGCTCTGGAGGGCCACTGGGGACAATGGCCATGGTCATGAATAGGAGGCAGGGATGGAGGAAGCCTCTGCTGGGAATGTGTTCATGGATCTCCCAGGGAACGCACGTGGTCATGGGGTCTGCGTGTGGCCATGGGGTCTGCGTGGTGTGTTTATGGCTCTCCCAGGCACATGGTCATGGGGTCCCTGTGTGTTTATGGATCTCACAGGGGATGTGGTCATGGGGTCCATGGTCCACGTGGCCGGGCGACCTACACGGATAAGGCGTCACCCTGCTGACCACACAGACGTGTCCTTGTCACTGTATTCCCACAGCACTTACGTTGGCATTAGGGGCTGTGAGTCATCAGATGACTTAAAGTATAGGGGAGGCCGTGGGCTTGTTCTGTGCAGACACTGCGCCATTTTACAGAAAGGACATTAGTCCCTGGACCTTGGTATCCATGGAAGCACTCCGCTGTGGATTACCAAGGGAGGCCCTGCTGTACTTGCGGTCTAAAGTCCATCTTTAACGCTAGTGAGAAGCGAAAGCCCATAAACCAAAGAGTGACCAGCAGGTGATGGACATCCAATCCCAGGATAGGATTGGGGCGCGGGCCTGGGCAGGAGGCGGGGCGTGGGTCAGAGTGGGCATTGGCAGAAGGGCGGGGGCTTGGGAGGGGCCGGGGATGTCAATGGGCGGGGTCTGGGCATAGGGAGGAGGGGTGGGGCCACTGGGGGGCGGTGATGGGGCGGGGCAGGGGAGAGGAGCCGTGGCAGTGGGTGGGGCATTGCAGGAGGGGGCGTGATAGTGGGCGGGACTCAGGCATGGGAAGGGTGTGTGTGGCATGGGAGGAGGGGCGTGCGGCAGTGGGCGGGGCATGGGAAGAGGCGTGGCAAGTGCGGAGGGCGTGACAGGGGGCGTGGCGGGGCGTGGGCCTCCCGACCTCACCTGCGTGCTGCTGCTGGAGTCGCTCTGCAGGCGGAGGTTCTGGCGGCCGGAGCTGCAGCTCTGCGAAGACTATGGAGAGATGGTAGCAGGGTGGGGGTGAGGCTGGGCTTTCGGCCATGGAGGCTGCGTCCAGCCCTGTCCTCCTGGGGCGTCCCCACCCGGGGCTTCAGCCTCTGAGCTGTGCAGCAGAGAGGGACCTCTCCTGCTTCCCAGAACCTCTTCTTCTGGGGTCCCTGCCTGCCCCCCATAACTGCTCTGTAGGATCTAGTCCTCGTGGCTACCATTGCTGCTCGTGTGAGTGTGGCTAGTTTTCCTCGCCCTGTGACCCCTCCGTCTCTCCCACTCTGCAGCCAATGACATCAGCAGCCTTGGCCAAGCAGTGTGCACAGAGAGGTCAGCACACTGGGCCATCAGCACCTTGGCCAAGCAGTGTGCACAGAGACTGGCCACTGACAGCTGGCACCACAGTGACCCGCGTCCCGTCCAGCTTGGAGCAGGGCCTCCTGCTGATCCCTAGGCCCAGTAGCAAAGCCACCAGCATGTGTTGCTGTAGGAAGTCTCTGGCTTCAGGGACAGCTGTTATGTGGCCACTATTATGGTGACTGATGCGCCATGCGAGCTCCAGCTCTGAGCTGTTCAGCTGGAGGTTTTGTGAGGACAGACGTCTTTGCTGGACCACTGGGACGCTCTGGGCATTCCCAATGATGCTGGCACAGGACACTCAACAAGCATTCATTGACTTACTGGAGCAGGAGACCCCAGAGCTGGGAGAACCCAGAGTGAGTGCTGGTATCCAAACCCAGATCTAATTCCCAAGTCACCCCTCCCACACACAAAGAAAAGCAGCAGCTAAGACTGAGATGGTCCCACAGCCCTGCACACCCAGCTTTCCTGCTTAGAACAGCTGCTGAATGGGTCCTGGCCTTCCCCATCCTTGCCCCCGCCTGCCAGCTGCCTCACCTCGTTGCTGATGGTGGAGTCCCTGTGCACCATCCGGTGCAGGTGGCCGTCCAAGCTGGCCCCCGATGAGCACTTGGCCAAGGCAGCTGCGTGGGACTCCCGCTCCCGTTGCCGCGATGGCCTCGCAGCCCAGCCACTCGGACATGGTCTGTGTGTAGCAGGCATGGGTCTGCTCATCCACCTGCCAGGCACATGTGAGGTCACCTGACGTGCTGGGCCCTGAGCAGAGCCAGCCTGACCTGGAAGGGAATGGCTTGACCCACCTAACCGCCATGCAGGTACCACCAACACCAGATGTCAACTAAGCACCTTTATGTGACACCTGGCACTCAGAGCACACGTGAGCAGGCCTCTGTCCTCCTTCTCTCCCTCCCTCTCTCCTTTCTCTTTCCCTCTCTCATTTCTCCCTGCCCTTCTTTCCTTTCTCTCTCCCCCTTTTCTTCCTTCTTCCTGTCTCCCTTCCCCTCTGGTCTTCTCTTCATCCCTCCATCCCTCCTCCTTCTCTTCCCTTTCCCTCCACCTCCTCCCCATTCCTCTGTCTCCCCCTCCCTCCCTCACACATCCAACTACCTGTTGAGCCCCTACTTGTGCCATAGTCTCCAAGGCTCTAAAAATACCAGCATGAGAAGACCACTTCTTTCCTTTTCCTTCTTGACTTCCTCATTCATTCATCCACCCATTCATTTAACTTGATAATCACCCACTGTATACAAGGCACCATGATGGGCATATGGAATATGAGCAAGATTCTGATATCCATTCATCCTTCCACTCATCCATCCACCTGTCATCCATCCATTCACCCACCCATTCACCCATCATCCATCCATCCATCCATCCACTCATCCATTCACCCATGACCCATCCATCCACTCATCTATCCATCCATTCACCCACCCATCCACCCATCATTCATCCATCCATCCATCCATCCACTCATCCATCCACCCATCCATCCACCCATCCACCCATCCATCCATCCACCCATCCATCCATCCACCCATCCATCCATCCACCCACCCATCCACCATCCATCCACCCATCTCTCCATCCATCCATCCATCCATCCACCCATCCCTCCATCCATCCATCCATGATCTATCCATCCATCCATCCCTCCATCCATCCCTGCATCCACTCACTCAACTCATTGACTGACAGCATCCTGTGTGTGCAGCATGGGCCCAGGAGCTGAAGCTACGAAAAAAATAAAACGAACATGCTGCCTTTCCTTCCTGGCAGAAGGGCCTGGGATTTCAAGCTTTTCCTTGCAGGTACTGAAGACAGGTGAGAGCTTTCATTGTTCCCAGTCGTGCAGCCCAGCTGACTGAGCTTCTGCACCTGCCAGATACCTTGGCACCAACAGGACAGACAGCTGATCTGAGGGATGCAGAGGCAGGAGCAGGAGAAGGGAGTGCAGGGGATCTGTCCTCTCCTGGGCCACTCAGACAGGGTCAAGAGCCTGACCTCCCCAAGGCTTCACCTCCCAATCCCCCCACCATCCTAGGCCAAGCTTCCACCACCCCTCACCTGGAGGAGCTTGGCAGCCTCCTCCCAGGTCTCTGCTTGCCCCACCCTGGTCCCTTCTGTTCAGGTCCCACTGTGCAGCCTCTGCCCTTGGTTCCTGTCCAGCTCCCCAGCCATTATGTTACAGCTGTTCATGACCACACCGTTTCTGCATCTCCCACACAAACACATGGGCCACATGCCACATCGTGCTGGCCCCTGAGCCCCTCCTCACCCTCTGCCTCCAAAACAAGCCCCACCAGCTCCTCTCAGGTCTCCTCTGAGCGGCCTCCCCCCAGCCTGGCTTAGATGCCCTGCTGCTCTTCAGCCTTGGAGTGGCCTTGGGGTACCACTGCAAGAGTCCACCTAGTGCATCTCTGGGTCCCCAGACCCTCAGATTCCTGTTACTGTGGCCACCAGGCATGGGGCAAAGTTGTCAGTCAACCCCTGGGGGCTCACAATAAGAGACCACAGGAGTGACATTATAGGGAGAGGGGTCATTGGTTCTTCTATGCGGCTAGCACCTCCTGCATCCCCACGTTGATAGCACCAGTCACAGTAGCCAGAATAAGGAATCAGCCCATCAGTGGATGAACGGGCAAAGAAAATGTGGTGTATTTGCACAATGGAGTATTATTCAGCCACAAAAAAGAATGAAATTATGTCCTTTGCAGGAAAATGGAACTGGCGATCAAAGTGTTGAGCAAAAGAAGCCAGAATGACAAATACCATGTGTTTTCTCTCACTTGTGGTATCTACTCCCTAAAATGAGTGGCGGGATGTTTGAGGGGTGAAGGGAGGGGGCTTGGGGGTGACCATGCTAGAAGTATGTTAGATATGAAAAGGTGACATTGCTTTCTAAGGGGGGAGGGGAAGAGGGGGAATGAAATGGTGAATTTGGTCAGAGTACGTGGTATTCCTATCGCAAGATCACCACGAAACCCCTTTGTACAACTAATAAGTGCAAGCAGAGGATGGAAAAGCTCTTTTTACCCAACGCATACCAATTCACACATTTATGGGTTACAGGCAGCCATAGACTGGACACAGCGTGGGGACTGTGTGGAGTACAGTGTCCTTCTCCTCACACGTTTGCCCCGTCTCTCCTGCTGTTTTGAGAGTCTCACGACGCCCAGAGCCCAGGTCGGCCCGGGACTGTCACGTGCTGGGATTACACGTGTGCACCACCATGCCCAGCAGCTCCTGTCACTTCTGTGTCACTTCCAGCCCTCTCGTACTTCTCTATTTGATCAGGGCTGGGCTTTGGCATCAAGTGGGAACCGAGTGACATCAGTCAGTCATATTCTATTCGTCTCTAAGTTAGCAGCTTCTGTTTATAGCAAGTCACACTGGCTCCCTATCCATGCAGGGATACACAATGTCTTCCAAAATAAGCTGTATGAGTTTTAAGTGGATCAGTTTCTGTAAGAAAATGTCAAGGCAAGAATAGTGGCAGGCGACATACAGATAGGAAGAAAAAGTGCCAGCAGATTTAAAAAAACTAATATGAACAAAATCACACAAACTACCTAGTTAGTGAATTTTGTACTGATTATATGTTGAAATGGTAACTTGTTATATACACTGGGCTTGGAAATGTACTATTATAACCAATTTCCCCATGACGGAACATCACACATGCATGTGCTCACGCTTGAATGCATGCACACAGTGAAACACGCACAGTCCCGAATGCACACGTGAGCACACGCGAGCACACCACACACCACGCATGCACGAGCGCACACGTGCACACTGCACGAGCCGATGCAGCATCTGGTGACAGCCCAGGGAGGCCTGGCCCTGGTCGTCCCACAGAGCCTGAGCCTTGGTTTTGTGAACACACTGTTGCTGTGTGAGGTGTCACCAGTGACGGGCTGGGTGATGGGCACCCAGGACCTCTGCAGTATTTCTGCAACTTCCGGTGACTTACAGTTATTTTAAAATATGAATTGCACGCTGTTTTCTGCAGTGCTGGGGATCGAACCTAGGCCCTGCACACACCAGGCAAGTGCTCCACCACTGAGCCGCACCCCAATCCTCTCTTTTTATGTTTTGAATTTGGCTGTTAAAGCATTTCTCCATCACGTGTGCGCTGCTGTCATCCAGACAGCATCAGGTGGACGAACACATGGATCAATGGCCAGAACAGAAACCCAGAAGCAGACACAGGCCCTGTGTGCAATGCAAACCCTTAACACGTGCAACTGTAGCAGCTGGATGCCCAGGGCCACAGATAACCCCCAGCCCACGATGCCTGCGTGGAAATGAGCTCAAAGTGGGTAAGAGAGATGTGAAGGTGATACGCACACCCAGAAAACCTCTACAAAGAACATAGGAGATCTTGAGGGCCTGCCGCTAGGCAGAGAGTCAGACTTGACCCCAAAAGTGTAACTGATGAAAGACCAATCTATAAATTGACTTCATCAAACTAAAAAATGTGTCTCACAAAAGACAGAGTAAGATGAACAGGCGAGTCCAGACTGGGAGGGAGTCGTCACCGACCACTCATGTGACAAAGGTCTGTTCCGTGAGCACAGAGAGACCTCACGCTCAACTCAAACCAAACAGGCCGGCCAGGCGTGTTGTCACCCCTGTAATCCCAGAACTCAGGAGGCTGAGCAGGCAGATGGAGGGTTGGGGGCCAGCCTGGGACATATAGACCCTCTCTCAAACACCAGTTCCCCCAAAGCAGTCTGCTCAGACAGTGGACAGACGGTGACCAGAGAACACCTGCAATGGCCGAAAAGCACGCGGAGAGCAGTTCCACTGCGCCAGCCTCTGGAGAGCGTGAGGTAACCACAGTGAGATGTCACCGCACTCCTGACAGTGAAGACACCAGGTTCTGGAAAGGACCCAGGTGTGGATCTCTATTCAGTGCCGGGGGATACAGAATGGTCCATCCGTGCAAAAAAAGTCACCATTCCCAATAAAAGTAAGCACGCAAGCACCTTGTGACCTGGAAATGGCACTATTACGCATTTATCCCAGAGAAACGACAAAAACCTGCAAGTAGGGCTGGGCGAGGCGGCTCATGCCTATAATCCCAGCTTCCTGGGAGGTGGAGATCGAGAGGATCATACTTTGAGTTGAGTCCGGTTCAAAAGAAAGCAAGACCCCATCTCAATCAACAAACTGGGTGTACTGGCACACTCTGGTGCTCCCAACTACATAGGAGGCCTAAGTAGGAGGATGACAGTCTGAGGCCAGCCCCAGGCAAAAACAAGAGAACTTGTCTGAAAAATAACTAAAGCAGACAGGGCAGAGGGTGTGCCTCAAGTATGCCTGTCTAGCAAGTGCAAGCCCTGAGTTCAAATCCCAGTACTGGCGCCCAAAAAATCCCAAACCAAAAACCCACCTGCACTTCAATATCCATTGAAGCTTTATTGTACAGTTGAAAAAAATAATGAAAAAAAAAAAGAGCCACCTTCCAACTGTGGAATATCCACACCAGGGAGTACTACACAGGCATAAAAAGGAGTCCACTGTGCGCAAACTGAGACAAATGTGTGAGTGAGACAAGGTGATCACTGAAGGTTGCATGTTGTGACATTCGGCAGGAAACGGCGAGAGGCTAGCCAGGAGTCAGGGGTGGGCGAGGGAGGGAGACGGGGTGGCTATGAATGTACAAACCAGGCCAGCAGAGCTCAGAGAAGTTCAATGTTGGTGGCCACGTGAACACAGATCTCACGTGAGGATGCGGAAGAGAGCGAGTACACGCACACGAGTAAACGGGCGCACGTGAGGTGGGGACCCCAGAAAGGCAGCAGGGCTGCGCCTGTCAACTGTGGGCTGCTAGTCACCTTCATCACTGTTCCCCAGATGGGGACACAGCATGCCTTCGACTGCACATGAACCTATAATGACCTCAAATACGATTCCACAAGTCTTGGGCTGTGTCCACACTGCCCTCGAGGTTCCTGTGTCCCCACATCTCCCCCACCTGGCTCCAACATGGGGTCAAGGCTCCCAGAGACCCCGGAGGCTGCTCACGGTGACTGACCTCCTTCCTCTCAGCCTCCGTCATCCCAAAGTGGTAGTGGCCCAGGAGGAAGGGCCACACGGCCTTGCGGATCTCGGGTTGGACGCCCCCATAGTACACCAGCCGCAGCAGCTCCTGTTCCTCGTAGCTCTGTAGTGGGCGGGGAGGGGGGTGGACAGGGTTTGGTCAGCAGAGTGCCGGGGCAGCTTGTGACCCCCGTCCTGCTGTGGGCAGCCCGCAGAGGTTCTGGGGTGAATGAGCAAATGCAGCTGTTTACATCTGGAGCATCACAAAGGCCCACGAGCTATAACCCTCGTGGTGGGACCTTTAAGACTGGTGGGCAGTCTTAGGGCATTGGGGGTGTGTCCTTAAAGGGACTCAGCCCCTTATCCTCCTCTGTCTGTCACCCTGGACCCAACAGGGTGAATGGGCCTCGTCCACCATGTGCTCCCACCAGGATGGGCTGTGTCCAAAGCAATCAGGTATCATACAGACAGCTTTGCCAATGCTGTTCAGAAGTCAGGAAATTATTGTGGGTGAGGCTGCAAATTCTTCATTACAACTCTACTTCCAGGTTGGGCCTGGTGGTGTGATTCTGTAATCCCGCCCTGGGGAGCTGAGGAAGGAGGACCCTAGTTTGAGGCCGGCCTGGGCTGCACAGTGACACCCTGCCTCCTCTCCTGGAGCCCACTGGACTCCACCCCCAGCATCCTTGGCAGCTAGAAGCTGCCATGTGACTGTCTGGCCAATGGGGCAAGAGAGGAAGGGAGGTAAGCAGTTTCCAGGGTGGGGGAGGAAGCAGGTGGGTGCCCCCCAATCTACTTCCTGTGCTGCTTCCCTAGACAGTGGGGTCACAAAGCTGGGGGAACCTGAGCCTGGGAGGAGAACCCACTCACCACAAATGCCCACCAGGACGGAGAGAGAGAGAGAGAGAGAGACAGAGAGAGACAGAGAGAATGACAGAGAGACAGAGACAGAGAGAGAGACACACACACACACACAGAGACAGTGAAAGACAGACAGAGACAGAGAGACAGACATACAGAAAGAAAGACAGAGAGACAGACAGAGACAGAGAGAAAGGCAGAGACAGAGATACACTGAGAGACAGCGAGAGCATGAGAGAGAGAGACAGAGAGAGACAGAGTGAAAGACAGAGACAGAGTGACAGTGAGACAGAAGGACACAGACAGATAGAAAGACAGAGAGAGGCAGACATACAGACAGAGAGACAGAGACAGGGTGAGAGAAAGGCAGAGAGATAGACAGAGACAGAGACAGACATACAGAAAGAGAGAGACAGACAGACAGAGACAGAGAGAAAGGCAGAGAGACAGAGATAGAGAGACAGAGAGAGAGAGAGAGAAACCCCGTGGCTCAGGCAACTAAAGTGGGGAGTGTTTGTTACCGGGGCTTGGCACCCCATGGAGGGTGAGAAGTTGCCATATGCAGTGTTCGGGGAAAACTATCCGTTTCTGATGGATTCCGTGTTTCACCCCGTTTGCCCCTAGACTGAAACCTCCCAAATTCCGCAGTGCTTGGGGAACTTCCAGAAAACACAGACTCGGGCTCCACTCCCAGGCGTGCTAAGTCAGTAAAGCTGGAGCCCAGCCCAGAAATCTATAAATCTTTAAAATTCCTCAGCAAATGTGCACATGCAGAGACTCTCAGGGCTATGAACTGTGACCTTCAAGAAAGCGAGCTGGATCCTCTCTTTAGATTTCAAACACACATCAATCAGTTTGACTTGTAATGTTCAAAATAAAAATGCTGGTACAGAAAGCTAAGTGCTCAGAACGGGGGGTTGCAATATTTGAAATAGTTTTTTTAAGTGAGGGAGAAAGAAGTGTGGTGCTCACACCTGTAATCCCAGCACTTGCGAGGTGGAGGAGGGGGATTGAGAGTTTAAGCCAGCCTGGGCTACATAAGGAGACTGTCTCAAAAATAAAATCTGCATCTCTACATATTCATGGCTATGTGCGTTTGTATCTATAGATATCGATATAAAATACGGAGAAGCTATAAACGATGTTATATGTAACACAGAGTTACAGATAGCTGTAAAGATACATCTATATATAAATCCATGAAGGATATCTACATAAGATTATAGATAAGCAGGCCAGGTGCAGTGGCTCACACCTGTAATCCCAGCTACTTGGGACATAGAGATTGGGAGGATCACGGTTTGAAACCAGCCTGGGCAAAGAAGTGAGTGAGACCTCATTTCAACAAACAAGCCAGGCATGGAGATGTTTGCCTGTAATCCTAGCTAAGCAGGAGGCACAGGTAGGAGGATTCAGTTCAGGCCAGTCAGGGCACGAATGCAGGACTCTGTGCAAAAATGGCTGGGGGTGTGGGTCAGGAGGAGAGCACCTGCCTAGCCAGGTGGTCAAGGGTTTAAACTCCAGAACCACTAAAAAAAGTTATATGCCTTATTTGTCATTTTTTGGGTTGCTATGCTAAATTGGCATTACTCCTGAAATGTAAAAAACAATTATTTTTGGCCAAAAGAACAACCAGCCTTCTGTTAGTCTAGGTTTGGGACCCGATTTGTTTTACTCACAGAGTCCCCTGTTACCCTGAGGGTGCACGACACAGCTCCTTTATGGGGTGTGGAGCCGCCGGCCTCTGTCCCCCACCCCCCACCCGGCTGCCCAGCAGCTGGTGGTACAGAGACGCCTGGCAGGGGCCTCCACGTCCACCGTGACGGGCACACAGCCCTTCTGCAAGCCCACCCTTGCGCAGGTAAGCCAGGGCTTCCCAAAGTGGTTTCCACCTCCCCCGGGCCTCGGGGCCACTTTCCCAACAAAGGAAAGGGTGTTGCTTGTATTTTACTCGGGCAATGATGACCCCAGGTGAACCGTGGAGTGCTGGACCCTCAGGCCCCAAGATGGAGAAAGAGTTCTGGGCAGGTGTGCAAGGTCCTCTTTGCTTTTATTTCCTTGGTGATGTTGGGGTTTGAACTTAGGGTCTTGCATTTGCTAGGCCGGCATCCACCACCCGAGCCACAGCCCAAGCACCTGGTGCCTTTTTCTTTCTCAGACATGGTCTCGAGCTTTTGCCCAGGGCTGACCTCAGACCGTGTGCCTTCTGAGTAGCTGGGATTACAGACGTGCACACCACACCCAGCCCCGAATGGCCCTCCAGCTCCTCCTTTGAGCTTAGCAAATCTCATCAGTTTCAACTGGATTCTGAACTTGAGCCCAAGTCTCAGCAGCCAGTGTAGGGTCGAGCATACAACCGGTGCCTAATGATGAATGCCTAACCACAGATCCATTCTTTACCACTTCCAGGGGAGCACGCCGGCCAGGTATCCCTAGGCAAGAAGTGTTTCAGGCTTCAGATTTTCTTGGATTTTGGAATATTTGCAGACATATAACCAGCTATCTAACACGAAACCCATGACACACTGCCTGAGCTCATGTCATAGGGTGTTTTTAGGGCACATGCATTTTGACTGACCCTGTCACGTGAGGTCAGGTGTGGGATTTTCCACTGGTTTCCCGTCCGTGCTCAGGACATTTTGGATTCTGGGGCATTTTGAGTCTTAGGTTAGTCACGTTCAACCCCCTGACCCTCCACCCTAAGGGCCCACACGAGCTGCGGGTCTGGGGAGCCTCAGGACTTCCTGGGAAGAGAGGGTCAAGGTGTCCAGGTGCACACGGAGCCCAGGCATGGCGACTTGGTCCCCACAGCAGGGTTTATCTCCGTGACAAGACAGCGTCCCTCTAAGACAGCCCGCCTGGCTCACTTACTGTGCTGTCCTGGAGGTACCGCTCCCAGATCCCGGCCGTCAGCCCCCGGCCAGCGTCACAGGGCACGTCTGGAGACACAGCCATGGCATTGACCAGCGCGGACAGGTGGGTCCTCACCGTGGACAGGTGTCGGCAGTAGGCCAGCCCTGGGGGGGCACAAGCACCAGGATCCTCCTGACACCCTCGCCTGTCTCCTGGGGCCTCCACAGCTCTGTCCCTCTCGTCTCCCTGAACCCCATGAGCAGCGAATTCTTGTCACCCCTTTTCCAGACAAGGAAAGCGAGGGTAGGAGTGGCGATGTCACTTTGCTGGCTTGGCTGCTGAACCTAGGGGAGTCTGTCACCTTTGTCTGCCTCAGTCGGGGGTCACCTCCCTCTTCTGCTGGAAGCCAGGGAAGGAAGGGCCAGGGACCCCGGGCTGGGCTCACTGTGCTTTGATCCATGAAGAGAGAGAACGAGAGAACGAGGACTCCCGGCCCCACAGGCTGGAGGATGAGGACGTCATCCTCCAGCAAGTCAGGCCTGGAAGATGCTAGGCACTGCTTTGTTTTCTGAAATGGCCTGGCCCCACTAAAAGATGTCCACAGCATGCCACCCCTCACCAGCTCCACCCTGGGCACCTGGACGGTGCTGGCCCAGTGACCGAGTCAAGGTGGGCAACTGCTGGCTGTGTCCCTTCCTCCTGGCCGTCTCACCCTCAGTCCCCAGAGAGGACCTGAGCAGCGGGAGCCTGAGTACTTGCCCTTCCCAACAGTGGGGTAAACGGTCACAAGGCGACCCCAGGAGAGATGCCCACCCTCCTGAACCCCATATGCAGTGAATTCTTGTCACCCCCTCTCCCAGGCAAGGGATGGAGGGCAGGAATGCAGGATGTCACTTTGCTTCTCTAACCTGGCACACACCACCTGCCAGGGGCTGCTGGCTGGCTTGACTCAGATCATTGATTCCCTACCATACTCCTATGAAGCCATACTGCCTTTGCCTCCATGGTTTAGAGGGGGAAACTAAGGCAAGGCTGCTTACATCTTTTGCCTGGGTTGCCTTTCTAGGAAGTGTGGAGATGGGATTTGGACCCAGGACTCTGAGCTCTCAACCATCATCAGGGATGTCACATGTCACCATCTGATGACATCGTTCCAGGCCCATCCCCACCACACTCCTTCCTCAGGGAGATCGTCCGTTAGGCTCAGGACACACTTGCCCAAGGGCAGCTGGGATCGCGCAGGAGAACCACACCTTTATCTGAGCGGCGCTCACACTGTCCCAACCTCTCCAGTCCCGTGTGAGAGGGTGGCACGGATATTACACAGGCCCAGCCAGGTCTTATGAGACTCGTCTAGTCTAGGGCCAGTCATGGTGGTGCATGACTGTAATCCCAGCTACAAGGGAGGCTTCAGTAGGAAGATCTCAGTCCAGGCCCACTGGGCAAAAAACCTGAGCCCCTATCCCAAAATAACTAAAACAAAAAGATCTGGAATGTGGCTAGAGTGGTAGAGCTCTTGCCTAGAAAGTACAAAGCCCTGGGTTCAAACCCCAGAACCGCCTTCTAGAATCCCTGAAAACACACCGTTTTTTTCCTCTGGCAGCTCAGCTGTGAAGCTGGGAAAATAAAAGAACCAATCTGACAGAGCGAAAAAGACAGGCTGTGGTCGAGCTGGCCAGGGTTCAAGTCCCAGCCCCTGCCTGTGGGTTGTGTGACCCTGGGATGTCACTCTGTCCTCTGTGCCTTGGTCTCCTTGTTTAAGTGGGAATAATTAAATATGTGCATTGCAAATCGAAATTTCAGGGTCAGGCCATCTGACTGACATTGATTGAGCATCTGTAGCTCAATCAATTCAACCCTGGGTCCCTCCACAGCAATGGTGAACACTGAACCAGATTCCTGCCCCCAGGTGGCCCCAGTGTCACTACCTCTCTCAGGACCCAGGGACAAAATTTCTCCCGTCTGTAGAAGGGGAAACCGAGGCTCAGGGAGGTGGATGTAAGTTCCCTGCCACCAGCTGTCCAGGAAATAGAGCTTGAGTTAGGCCCTCCTGACATCGCTGGCATACAGCAAGCACTCAACAAATGGTCCCAGAGATCACACGGGCAACAAGACCTGTACGCACATCCGTAGAAGGCTCTGGAAAGGATCTGGTACTTCATGTTGTCACACAGCAGCTTCAGAGGAGCCCTGAAGGCAGAGAAAGAGGAGGCACTAGGAGGAGACACACACCCACGGCCTCCCCCAACCGTGGCCTCCTCCACTCGCAGCCCTCTTTGCCCAAGGGCCAGCAGGAGGACCATGGGGAGGGCCACCATGAGTTCTAACTTATGGCACCATCGCCACCTGTTTTTCTTTTTGGAATCACCCATTGCTCTTTGCTCTGTGGACTGGGGTGGAGAGGGATAACCATCCAGTACTGACCCCGGCTACAGTCATAGTGATTGGCTCAGAGATGGTCATGTGACCCAGCCCGGGCCAATGAGAATCAGCCCTGAGATTTTGTTGGCATTCCCAGGAAACACACCCTTCTTTTTTTCCTGTGAGTTTCTAAGCCAGTGGGATATGATGGTGGCTTCTGGAAGCCACCTTCACCATCGTTGGTGGCAGTGGGGGGGGGGGCGGTGTGCCTGAGAACAGATCCGTCACACAGGCAGGTACAGCCAATGTGTGAAGACCACAGAGGGATTGCTGCTTTGGCACCTGGATCCATGGGCCAGGTGCCATGCTGGTCACCTGACTTTTCCTTATAAAGTCATGTTTGGTGCCATTTTGTGGAGGAGCTGAGACAGATGTGGTTGTTGTCATATGTCTGGGTTTTTCCTTCCAGGCACATGGTAGGGCTGCATTTCCTGGCCCCTTGAGAGTGGGAACACGGAATTCAGAGTACAAAGGATGTGTAATTCTTCTAGGTGGAGCATTTACTGTTGGGTCAATCCCCTCCATTCCCTCTGACACCGTGACACATGGCTGTCCCACAGCCAGGCCTCTTAGTGAGAGGAAGTGGGGCTCCCAGCTGACCCAGGATGGACACACAGCACCTCACATCAACATTTGCTGTCAGAAGCCACCGAGATGTCGAGACTGTTTGTTACTGCAGCATAGCCGTCCTTATCATGGCTGACGTACGTAAGTAAACTCCAAGGGTAGGACTTCAAGGACAAGAGTTAGCCCTGCACCGACTGACTCCCATGCTCTACTCACTGCAGGGCAAGAAACAGGCTCTGCAACCCTCTGGTCCGCAACCGTTAGTCCACAGTCCTTCGTCCATCTCAGTCCCTCCCACCTGTGGCCCAAGCCCTGCCTACCTCTCGTGGTTGCAGCCATTGGTGGAGCTGCCATCTGCCAAGCCACTCTGTGAGCAGGAGGAGCAGGACGACTTCCTGGGGCTGGGTTGCCATAGCGATGGGAGGTTGCCCACGGAGACATCCATCAGATCCTGGGGAACTGCAGTGTTAGAATAAGGGGCAGAAGAAGAGCCCTGGTCAAGTCTATGTGGGTCCCAGAAACCTCACCCCAATGCAAGCTGCTCCCCTTCCCCAGGCTGGCACAGGTATGGAAAGACACCGAATGTGACAGTAGGAAACACAACCCCAATCACAGTCTCACTCAGGTTCTGAGCCCACCGGATCCAGTGAAAGCCATCACCAAGATATGGAGCTCCAGCAGATGGCAGAGCTAACGAGGTCCAAAGAAAGAAGAGACCACAGCCAAGAAGACCCCAGGCCCAATCCCAGAGCAGGCGGCCTTGCCTTGCCATGTTGTCATCTACGTGGTCCAGGGGTGGAGGGGACCTTGTGGGTGCTTCTGGGGGAGGATGAAGCAACCAAGTCCCCAGAGACAGACCTCCTGGGGCAAGAGGCCCATGGAGTCTGAGGAGCGAGGAGGGCGGCAGGGATGTCCCCATGCTGAGCTGTGAAGCTGCTTCACCAGGTGAATCCAAACAGACGGGTGGCCCCAAGTCACATGACGACCCATCAGAAGGCCATGTGCCCACCTGAGCCCACACAGTGAGGCAGAGACCTCAAGACTGCATTTTCTATAGGGCTTTGTTACAGCAGCCACACTTGAGAAACCCTGCTTTCCTAACTCCTACCTGTTGTGATCCCAGGACACAAGACTCAGTTTCCCTGATTTTTTGTTTTTTCAGCTTTATGAAAACCACATCTACAAAGCTTCAGGAAAAAAACGCTGGTGTGACATGCATCACAATTCTGTCTCTTGGGCAGTTTTGTTTTGTCTATGACGGAGCTTGGTGAACTTGTTCTGTAAAAGGCCAGGTAGTATTTTAGGCTCAGGGGCCATTTGGCCTCAGTCAGTACACCCAGCTCACATGTACCTGTCCACACACAAAGGAACAGAAAGAAGCAGGAGACCGTCCCAACACCTCATGGTGATGGACGCTGCAGTGAACGTCTTGTCGTTCTCACGTCACAAAACGTTACTCACGTGAGAACATAAAAACTGCTCAGTGCGTGACTGAATGGAGTGGGCTGGATTTGGTCGTGGTTGGCCGTGGTTTTCGAGCCTGGCTCTAGGAAGTGAGAGGTGCATGTTTTCCCCAGCTGCCGTGGCCCCTCAAGGACATAGCTTTTACCTTGGACCTTCCGTTGAGCTCCAAGAGGAGAGGGACATGTGCACCTGTCCCCCTTGTCATCACAGCTCAGCAGCTGACAGGGTCACAGTACCCGCTGGACAGAGAAGGAAGCCGACTACAGAATGTGGCTTGTACAGCCACCCAAAATAGTTTCCTTCCCATGCAGACCCACCCAAGCTGGCCAAGAGAGCCAGAGAGCCCCCTAAAATGCTCTAGAAAGACACCCCCAGTTCTTAGCTCGTCTCAGGGAAGGATCGCTTGGTGTAGCCCAGGTATGGCGTGCCTAGATCCTAGCCCTCACACTACAGGCTTCACCAGGGTGTCCCTCACTACTGAGCCCAAACACTCCAGCTGTCTCCTGCAGGGGGGATCCTGGGGGGCATAACAACAGCCATTGTCACCTCCTTCCATCTCTCTTGGACCAAGCTTCAAATGACAACATGGCAGAGATGGCTGGCACCCAGCCCCTGGGGGAGGGGAAACCGGACATTACTGGGGGGCTTCTCCCGTAGGCCTGGCGTGGGGAAGGCAGTATCTTGTCTTGCTCGTGCCCACCGAGTTCCCTTGGCCACCACCAGCACGGAGCGCCCAGCAGGAACCATCGTCCAGGAAGGCCCCACAGAGATGAGGCAGGTGCTGCCCAAGAGGTCGGAGGTGACTTAAGACAAAACAAAAGAACCGGTGAGGTGGGAGGCTGAGGTGCGCAGGGCAGGGAGACGCCAGAACCACGTTTACCTGCCCGGCTTGCAGGCATGTTGTGTTTGATTTGAGGAAGAAAGTGGGTGTTCACAGAGTGCCTACTGTGTGCTGGGTGCTGGACTAGTTTTGTCTTATCAACTGTGGGGACTCTATAAAGCGTGCATTTATTTTCCATTTTGCAGAAATAATAGGCTCAGAATGGCGAGACCTGGCTCCACCCAAGCCTTGGCAGTATGTCCAAAATGTCACCATTTTAACACGTGATCAATATAAAATTATTTGATGAAACATTTTAGATTCTTCTTTGTCCATACAAAGTCTTCAAAGCTGGCTGGTGTTTTGCATTTACAGCATGTATGTTTCTGGTGCTCGGTGGGCACAGAGGGCACAGGGGAGATGAGACACTGAAGGCAGGGCCTCTGTGGCCACTTCTCCCTTCCCCCGCTGAAGTTGTTTTCTTATTATTTGGGATGACCATCTGCAATTTCCTTTTTTTCTGTGAAGGGCGGGTGCTAATATTTTTGTCTGTGCCACAATTACTGACTTTGCTGCTGTGGCCACAGACAGTATACAAATGAACGGCTGTGACCGTGTTCTAATAAAACTTTATTCATAGAATCAGGCAGTGGGCCTGATGTGGCTGATGGCAGGGGCTTGTTGACTGCAGAGAGGATGTCATCCTTGTCACAGGTGAAAACCACGGATGACTGTTTCTTGAACGCTGTGTGATTTGGGCCCCTGAGGACATTAGCCAAGGATGGAGGTCACCATTTCCACATGGGCTGAACCTGGCCTTGAGTATGAAGGTGGTGACACCACAGCCCTGTTTCCACCTGTCAGAGTGGTGGTCAGTGCTCTGAAGCTGGACCACCTGCAGCAAAGCCCAGATGTGTCAAGAATTCGCTGTGTGACCTTGGATTGGTGGCTTGACCTTGCTGTGCCTCCGTTTTCCCCTCTGCCCGAGGCTGTGCTGTGGTGAGGAGAGCACAGAGTACAGGAGGAGCAGACTCTGAGCAAAACCTGGGGCAGGGTGTGACAGTGCTGCAGAGCTGAGGGACACAGTGCTGTCTTTTTCCTCTAAGCCAGTGGCTGTCCATGGGGGGGCAGCTTGGTCCCCTTGGAGGACACTTGCAGGTCTAGATGTTTTTCCTGTTGTCTGCTGGAGGGTGCTGGCACCACACAGGGCCCAGGACAGTCTCCTCGGACAGCATGGGGTGTGCAGCACGGGGTCAGGAGCCCCATCCTAAGCAACAGACTGAGCTGGTCTCCCTCGGAGGCAGACCAGGATTCAAGTGCAGGTGACTTGGAAGCAAGGCAGAGACGGGGGGACGCAGGACAGGGAAGGAAGGGCTGAGGACAATTGTCACCCTGAGCGAGTTTCCACTCTGGGTAGCATGTTTAACTCCCTGGGGATCTCTGGGGACAGCAGTGCACACACCATCTGCTCCCTGAGGGATGAGGCCTCGGGGTGCTTATATACTGGCCCCTGTCTGTCGTGGTCATGGGCTGAGGGTGGCTCCCAGCGTGGCCTATGATCAGGGAGAAGTGACCTTGGTGGCCAGAGACCCCTCAGGTGAAGAGGCACTGAGGCAGGGCGCTGGCAGCTGAACAGCAGGCCCAGGATGGGTGCACAGAGGATGACAGGCCCCCAAATAAGCATCTGTCATCCTGCCTGGCTCCTTCTCTCCTATGGGACAGTTCTGGTGCCACAGAGAGGCCGGGAGGGCTCGGTGCCCCAAGAATGGGCTGGATCAGACGTGGTCATGACTCTAACATGGGGGACATTCAGGAACTGAGGCTTTACTGTGAACTCGCCAGGAAGGAGCATCCCAGGTGAAAACCCTGGAGACGAAAGCTGACTGCCAAGCTGCCCCAGGCCCAGATCAGATTTGGCTGTGGTGAGAGCCAGGATGTCACAGGGCCCAGCACCACTGTCCTCCCCGGCCACAGGACGCTGCTTATTGCCCAGCACATGGTCACTTAAGCAAAGGGAGGCTCAGGACCTCTGCTGGGATCAAATAAAATGGGCTGAGCAGAAAGAACCTGCACTCAACACTGATGTGTGCGCCAGCCACACGCACGGTCCTGAACTAACACCAGGAGCACTTTCCAAAGGTGAATTCCCTGGGTGCTGATGACACTGCGTGATCGTGACACCCCACCATTCCGACACTCCGCGATCATGACACCCGCAATTGTGACACCGTGCAATCATGACACCCCACGATCTGACACCCCACCATCCCAACACCCTGTGATTATGACACCCTGCAATCATGACACCCCACGATCCTGACACCCTGCATTTGTGACACCCCGTGATCCTGACATCCAGCAACTGTGATACCCTGTGATCGTGACACCCCACGATCCTGACACCCCCACGATCTGACACCCTACCATCCTGACACCCCACGATCCTGACACCCTGCATTTGTGGCACCCCGTGATCCTGACACCCCGCAATTGTGACACCCTGCGATCGTGACACCCCACGATCCTGACACCCCGCAATTGTGACACCCTGCGATCGTGACACCCCACGATCCTGACACCCCCACGATCTGACACCCTACCATCCCGACACCCTGCGGCCGTGACAACTGATCTTCATGGCAAGGTGCCATAGCTGAGCACCTGCTTCAGTCACTACAGAAATTGTTTGGCAGCTGCTGTCATCCACGGACCTGGCTCTGTCCTTTGCTGCTCCCGGTGGCTCCAGTACAAGCCCTTATCCCAGGGCTGTGCACCGATGGCCTTTTCATGTCACTGGGCCTCAATAATCAGAAGTAAGACATTAAGGAGAAGCTTGTGGTGATGGGCACATTCGCACATCCTCTGGCCCACACCTTCTGTCACTTCACAGCAGTCCTGGGAGATGGGCCCCACTTTACAGATGAGAAAATGGAGGGCTGAGGTGTCAAGTGACCTGTCCAAGTGCCACCAGGATGCCAGAGCCAGGACACCATTACTACTCCATGTCACCTCCTGCCCAGGGGCATCTAGATTAGCTGGGCAGTTCTCATTCAGGGGAAACTGAGGACACACGGAGGGCAGATCCCCTCCTGGCCAGGACTCTAGGCCCCTTCTTCCAGCTGCAAAGGTTTACAGGAGGGAGCATGGGGGGACGACCCCAGGCCCAGGGACATGGGGCTCACCGAGCTCTGACTGCATGCCAGGGTAGATGATCCGGAACACGTAATCTGTGGCCTCATCGTCCTCCTTGTCTGAAGACGTGGACTCGGAGGAGCCCGGAGGGCTTCGCTTGCGCAGTTTGGGAAATACTTTGCCCTGAAAGACCGAGACCCAGTGCAAGGTCCCCGGGCACAGCTGTCCCCGGGACCTGCACAGCTGAGGGTCTCGGGCCACTCCCCAGGGCTGGTCCCCACCTTAGCCTCCCCAGGACCCCAGGGCCACTCACCTTCCCACGCTGGGACCAGAGGGGAGGGTCCAGCTGCCCGTGGGGGAGCAGCCCGTTCTCCAGGCACGAGAGGAACTGCAGCAGGTGCCCCCCCTTGGGAAAGCGGAAGGGTGACCTCTGGATGCCGTCCTGGCTGACCAGCACCACGGTCCCTCCGCTGTCCACTGCCACCACGACCGGCCAGAGAAGACCAGCAGGAAGTCACTATGAGGCCTAGTGACAGAGCCCACTCTGCAGCCACAGGTTCCCAGGGTTCCCAGCCAGACCCCTGCAGGGCCTGCTCTGAGGCAAGGCCTGGGAGAAAGGTCGATGTGGTTTACCCGCCCCTCCATGTCCACCTCTGGGGACCAGTGTGGGAAAGAGCAAGGAAAGGTCATGAACAGAGTGGTTGGCTTCCCTAATGTGACCAAGACCAGGATGTCCCAGACACCACCCCTCCTTAAGAACCCTCTGCAAATCTACAGGAACTTGTCAGGACCGTGGTGAGCACCTAGTGTGTACCAGCTGGAAGGGTGAGCACTTGGTGTATACAGCTGGCACAGTGAGTGCTTACTGTATACCAGCATGCACATTAAAAGCACTGTCTTTTCCTAACAGCCACAACACCCTCTGTGAGACCTATTTGTAATTGCCTATTTTACATACGATGAAAGCAAGGATCAGAGAGGTTAAGCCTCTTTCTCAAGGTCACACAGCTGATAGGTGGTACAGCCTGGAGTGGAACCCACGCATGTCTCATTAAGAAGGCGTGAGCGGCTGTGCTACACACCTTTGCTTTCTGAGGCGGGACGGCCCTGTGCTGTCTGTTCTGAAAGGAAGACTCAGTTATTCACAGTCTGCAGAGCACAGGGACCAGGGTCCAGCTGCTGCTTCACCTCTAACACGGGAGGTCACTCCTGTCACTGTGTTGTGACGATGACGTGACAGGCACCCCCATTTTACAGATGACATCCAGGCTTGGAGAGGTAAACCCATGTGCTTGAGGTTGCACAGGCAATATGGGGGATCCACCACAACGTCTCACCATGCTAACAGATGGATGGGTGGAGGCAGGCATGGATTCTAGAGAAGCACCAGGCCAGCCCCCTGTGGTCCCCCAGGCCCCCCGGTCCACCTGGTCCCTACCTTGCTGGTGGCAGTGCAGATAGACGATCTCCTCCAGGCGGATGGTCATGGCGTAGTCCCAGTAGACGCTGGAAGGGAACAGAGGGTTAGGCTTGCGGGAAGCCCATGTACGCCATTGTGGAGGTGCTCAGGAAGGCAGAAGCCGCCCGAAGACACCACCACCCTCACCAGTTACCTGGTCCCAGCATCTCGGCTTTCTGAGGGAACCCCTCCCCCACCCACGAGGTTCAGGGGAGCCCCACCCCAGCAGCTCTCCAGTCCAGGACTCTGGAATAGTCATCGGACCCAGACCTGGCCATCAGCACATTCCTGTGTCCTGGGCACAGCGACTGGTGCAGGGATGGCCCCGAGACCCAAGCAGAACCAATGAGATTCAACGATCAGATTTATATCCCAGTGTCTGGGACAGACACTCCCTTCTGTCTGTCCTAGAGAGAGGTGGTGAGGCTAGAAGCCTGGAGGTGTCCAGGACCACGGCTGAGGACAGAGTCAACAGATGAGAGAGTTCAGGTGTCATTACTCGAGTCCCTGGATCCACCTGTGCCTGAAGCTTGCTGACCCTGAATCTTCAGTTCATGGGAACAATATTAAGTCAGCTAGTCACTAGTGTCTAAAGGTCTTGACTAGCCCAGACCACCATGTGTCCACGGGCAGGCGTGAGAACAGCCGATCCACAGCGCTGACCTCATGGGTCGCAGGCTTGAAGGTGACTCTGAGCCTCAGTTTCCTCAGCTGTGATGCAGGGTCTCCGTGAGACACCTCTAGTGAGGATGAAGTGGAAGCAGCTGCTCCCAGCCAGGGCGGCCATCCCCGGGGGAGGAGGGACCCCTCGAACTGCAGCGTCGGCCTGGGGACTCCCAGTCGGTCTGGCTGGATGTTCTCTGAACCGCGCTGCCCGAGTTGTACAATCTGCCCCCTTCCCCTCCCTTCATGGCAGGCAGTGGACGCCATCCCCCTTGGCCCTCCCAGGCCATCCCCCCAACCCTGACAAGGGTCTCCCCATCTGATCCCGTTTTGTCCCATTTCGTGGAGGACCCACAGTAAGAGGCTTCAAGGTCAGGCGGAGTTCGAATCCCGCAGCCTGCCCCCCGCGGCCCTTGGAAATGGCATTGGGGCAGAAACTCCTTCCCTGGCCAGCCACACCAGAGGGTACCGAAGGGGACATCCTTGGATGGTGGTCAAGTGCACGTGAAGTAGCCATCTCCTTCCGCTCACTTACGTGACTTCTGGCTCCTAATTTTACAGAAGAGTAAACTGAGGCCCAGGGATGTGAGGCTGACTGTCACCAGTTGGGAAGGAGCAAGGACCAGCTTTATTTTTAGCTTGACACATTTTAACAGCTTTATGGAGCTGTACTTTACATATTGTGAAATCCCTGTTTTCTGAGTACAGTCTGATGATGTGGTAGCATCACCACCACCTTCACAACACCTCCATCACCCCCAAAGCCCCCTCCCGCCTATCTGCAGGTCCTCCAGACCTCCCCCCTGTCCTAGGCAACAGTCTGTGTTGACCATAGGTCGTCCTCTTCTGGACAGTTCACCTAAACAGAACTGTGGTTGGCCTCTTTCATCTCGCACGATGCTCTCAGGACAGCCCATCCTTTTTCTCTAGTAAATAGTAGTTCACTGCATGCTGTAATCGGTTCTTCACTTGATGGACATCTGAGCTGCCTGTAGGTTGGAGCTCTGGAGAAAATGATGTTTGAACATTTGTGTGCAGGGCTTTGCAGCTCTCCTGGGTAGATCCCTGGTGGTGGCATTTCTGGGTCATATGTACGGATGTGGCACAAGAAATGCCCAAACTGTAAAGTGCTGTCCCGCAGCAGTGGAGAAAGGACCCACTGCTCCACACGGCAGGACGGGGAGATTTGAACAAAGTCTGGCATGGCTCCAGAGCCGGTGGTCACCTCTTTGGTGGTATTTCCTCTCTAACACCAGGAAACCTACTGAAAAGCCAGGATCGCAGTTATGTGGGAGGGAGTGACGGCTGGGGACAGACAGAAGAGCTTCTGTGCCTTCTCAAGGGCTGCCTCTTTGTCTCCAACACCTCTTGGTCACAAAGAGGATGCTGAAGCCCCTTCCCCACACGGCAACCCCCACATTTCTGACCCCTGGCTGTTGTTTTCCACTGAGCCCAGGTTCTGGGTGAGAATCCCACAGGGCAGTGACCGTGCAGGTTCAGATTCAGCTGGAACTCATTATTTCAGGACCTACCACGTGCCTGTTCACAAACTGAGGAAAAGATAATGCAGACACGTGGAGCCCCTGCCGTGAGCTGGAGAGACAGGCAATGATGGCGTGAGTTCCTCCCCACAACACTGGCATCCAGCATTTCTGCCCGCACAATCCTGCACTCGCGCCCACACAGTGATCAGGGTCACGTTTAAAGCTGTGATGTCTGTAGAGGACATCGTGTCTGAGAAGCCCCTGGAGGCCCACACGGAATGCTTGAATTCTGGGGAGACCATCTCACCCAACTCCCTCATCTGACAGAAGGGGGAAACTGAGGCCTGAGAGGTGGAGGGACGTGCCCCAGGCCATCCCGAGGGACCTGGCCCTGCAGCCTGGCTGTCCGAGGTCCTCACTAGTGTGACACCTGCTCTGAGAACGTAGAGGTCTTCTTGTCCTCACACAGCGCCTGGCTTGTGGCAGGAGCTCCGTCGTCATCTGATAAAGGAGCCCATGGCTTCCCTGCTTCATTTCACAAAGATCACCTGAGCACCGACTGTGTGCTCAGTCTGTGGGGTGTTGGGGTAAGAGGTGAGCAGCAAGGCAGGGTCCTTGATTTCGACTTCAAGGATCTGATGATCTGAGACCGCAGATAGATGAGGACAGACTGGCCATGTGACTGACCTTCTGTGGATGCTATGAGGAGGGGGTCCCAGGGCTGTGGGAACCACACTCAGCTGGATGGTCAGGGAGGAGCCGATGCCACGATTCAGGGTGAACAGGGGAGGTTCCAGGCCCGGGCTCTCCTTGGCCGATACCTCGGTCCTCCCTGAGAGGCCAGAGCCGAATTACGTCAGCTTGGGATGGACTGCAATCGTCACCGAGGATGGGGAGAGACCTGAGCCGGAAGTGGCCAGTTCAGAAAACCCAGTAATCATGCTAAGGCCCAGATCGATCACAGGCTACCTTTTAAACAGAACACGTATGTGAGGTTATGCTTCTTGAAGAGCCCTCAGCTTTCACAGACATTTACAGATATTCACAGATGGATGTACACGAGGTGTACATGTTGCTTCAGAGTGGTGTGCAGGGCTCAGGGCTTGGCTGGTGGTCACACGAGTTGGGTGATGGGTACCTGTGTCCTCTATTTTATGTTAAAAGTTCTTTATCACAAAAAGGTTTTTAAGAAGGCTAGAAAGTGTGGAAAAAAAGAAAAGACCAGAAGTGGGTTTAGACTAGCCAAAGCACAGCTTTTCCTCCCCAGTGACACCCATGACTCCTTCAGCTGAAATACTTGGGCCTCCTGTGGCACCTTGGGGTCCCCTGACCCTGGCTGAGTCCATCCTCACTGGGCTAGAACACAGGCATTAGGGTTTGGGTCTGGCACATGTGTTAGAGGTGTGGTCACCAGCCTGTGCCACTATGCAGAGGTGGGGGGGCCTTTAAGAGGCGGGGCCTAGTGGGAGGAAGTGAGCCACAGGCCCAGAGGCAACAGTCAGACAACCATGGGTGGAACCTCTGAAACCATGGGCCCAGTAAACCTTTTCTCCTTGTAAATCCTTTATCTCAGGCATTTAGCCACAGTGATGGAAAGTGAGTAACAGAGTGACATTCTGAAGACTTTGCTGGGTCTGACATGTTGCAGACATCACAGGAAAGAAGGCCACGGGACCACCACATGGGTCATCCCATAGGACGCAACGCCACAGGACGGAGACCCACAGGTCACTTCCACAGGAGAAGTAGCCACAGGGACCAGGACCTATGGGTCATTTCCACAGAAGATGAGGCCACGGGAACCGACACCCACAAGTCATCCCATTCCCATCTTACTGAGTGCTGGGGAAGGGTGGGCAGAGATGGGAAAGGTCTTGCCACTGAAGGCTCACGGGACTTTGTAAAGCTCTCTCTCTGGGTAGCAGTATGGCTGGGGTGTCCAGTGGGTCTCCAGACCCTTCCATGTCCCCATTTCCCCATGAGGCCACAGCTGCAGGCACAGTGGTAGGCAGGGACTGAGCACTGGCCTCCCTTCTGCAGGAGGGAGCTACCCTGTGCCAAAGAGAGAAGAGGGACCCGGGGACACAGTGTCCTACCTCTTCTCATAGTCCAGGTCCCCCATTGACCCATTCATTAGCTGGTTGGGTGTCCACTTCAAGGTCATGACATCAGCCGTCTGGTGCAGGGACAGGTACCCTGGCACAGCCTCCATGTCGTCCCTCTGTAGAGAGAGGGGAGGACTCAGGCCTGGCCACTGTGCTGGAAACCCAGTGGACACAGGCCCTGGCCCATCTGACTCAATGATGTGATGGGTGATTCACTTCAAGGTCATGGCCACTCAGAAGACCCTAATCCTCCCAGATGGTCATGCTAAGCAAAGCGCCTGCTGTCACCCTTCCAGGACAGGTTCTACAGAGTCCAGCTGTGAAGCCAGACACCACAGCACTGTCACACTCAGGTCTCCCTCCATGGCTCTGTCAACGAGGCATTTATCTTGGCCAGTCTTAAGGGGGAGAGAGATGGCAGCTGAGCTCATCCTGTAGACATTACCCCAAATCCTGCTTCCCTAGTACCCCATGCTTCTGCCTGCAGCCAGACCCTCTGACCTCCCAGAATTTGCCTGCGGGAATTCTCTCCTGATTTATTTCATACCAAGTGGGTGGGCAGGCAATGTCAACATCGCTCTTACACAAAGGAGGCAGCCCCTCCACCAAGTCCACCCCAACAACAGGCAGACATTTACTGAGCACCAAGTGTGTACGGAGCCTGCCCAGCATCACACGTCTCAGGTGAGCCGCACGTGCTCACAGCCCCACAAGTGAGCAGCACTGTAATATTCCATCCATCCCAAGATGCACGTTCTGCTTCTTTAGCAGTTTAATGTCCCTAAAATGGAGACGTGTCATGGTAAGTGTCCTCTCAAGTGACGTGGCCGTCACTGCCTGGTCTCACAAAAACTCAGCCTCTGCTGCCCACACTGTCATCGCTCACACTGAGTTCTGTGCATGGTGGTGATTTCATTCGGAGGAGGTGCTATTTTAAATGTCTTCAGAACCATAAGGCTGTGATGCAGCACTGAACTGAAAAGTTACTGTGACACAGAGAGGCAGGGAGCAGGCAGCCCCGAGTGCTCGGGTGACACTGGAAAAGGGACACACTGCTCATCCCTGCAGGGCATCCATCATTCCAGAGCCTTTGCACAGCAGCAGCCTGGGACTCTGTGGGACTTCAGAGCCATCTTGAGATGGGAATGGACCTGGGAGGTGTCACCAAACTCTGTGTCAAGGGATTGACAGGGATTATTTTTGCCTTTGTGAGCCATTCAGGCTCAGTTGCAACCACTCAGCTCTGACACCATAGCCTGAAAGCCATCATAGACCATACAAGAACTAATGGTCGTGTTTCAATAAAATTTTATTTACAAATACCAGTGGAGGGCCACATTTGGCCCATGGTCATAGTTTACTGCTCTTTTCTCTTGATGGAACAGAAAACGGCAAGCAGAAAAATTAGGGGATCAGTGTGTGTGCTTAGAAGATGGATGTATGATTAAGATTAAAAGTCAAGCAGGAATATTCTATGTCCAAGTACATCTCAAAGAGCTGTTTCAGAGGTAGGTGGGAATCTGCAAGTAGCACAGAAACTATTTGTGATACAACAGCATTGCACATTTCTGGATGGATTTGTGAAAGCAAGTGGCTTCCTGGCTTCCCACACCCAAGGAAATGGGGTCAGTTCTCACCATGGTGCAGACACTATGGCTCAGAGGGAGATGGGACTTGCTTGGGTCAACCAGTGATCAAAACTGTGACCCCACAGCCCTCCCTGCTTCCTCCTGCTGAGCCCAAACACCATGCTGGCCCTGTGATCCATGGCCTTAGGGAGGGGACAGTCAAAGGGGACAGAAGCTGTGTATGTGGGAGCCCAGTCAGCTGCTGGAGTGAAGGTGACTGACTAATGGCACCAGCGGGTTTGAGTCAAATCAATGCCACTGCTGAATTCACCTACATGGGCTTCAAGGTTACCATGATGGACGGTACCTATAAGGGCTGTTGTGACAGTTAAATGAGTCAATACAGTTGAAGGAATTTCATGCACCAAATCCCTCAATAGATATCAGTCATGAAGACTGTCTTCTGGACACCCCACCCATCCAGTACACAGCAGGCCAGTGTAAATGTTTACTGAATGAGTGAGCAAATGGATGGAGAGATGGTAGATGGACAGGGATGCAGAGGAATGGAGTAGAATATTAATGGAAAACTGGATGGGTGTAAAAATGGAGAGATGGATGGGTGAGAGGACAAAAATATAAACAGATGAATGAACAAATAGAGGGTAAAGTCATGGAAGGAAAGATGGGTGATGGGCAGAATAGAAGAGAGCTGACTGGCTGGTCAGCCAGCTAGACACCACGGCAGATGGATGGGCAGATGGGTGGGTGGACGGATGGATGGATAGATAGGTGGATTGATGGATAGATGGATGGATAGTGGATGGATAGATTGATGGATGGATGGGTGGATGGATGGATTGGTGGATGGATGGACACATGGATGGATAGGTGGATGGGTGGATGGATGAATGGATGGATAGATGGATGGGTAGGCAGATGGATGGATAGGTGGATTGAAGGATGGATGGATAGATGGATTGATGGATGGATGGATAGATAGGTGGATTGATGGATAGATGGATGAATAGGTGGGTGGATGGATGGATGGATAGTGGATGGATAGATTGATGGATGGATGGGTGGATGGATGGATTGGTGGATGGATGGACACATGGATGGATAGGTGGATGGGTGGATGGATGAATGGATGGATAGATGGATGGGTAGGCAGATAGATGGATGGATAGGTGGATGATGGATGGATGGATGGGTAGGTGGAAGGGTGGATAAATGGATAGAAGATGGATGGATAGGTGGATGGGTGGGTGTGGGTGGGTGGATGGATGGGTAGATGAATGGATAGATGGATAGATAGGTAGATGGATGGATGGCTAGATGGATGGGTGGACAACCTGCAGCCAGAGGGAACTCCTCCTCTCTACTCTGGAGCCATACCCCCATACCATGATCTTGTCCACCATTAACTCACCGGCTGAACCAGGACATTGTTTTGCCGTAAAGCAGGGTGGCTCTGGAGTTCTGGTGCAGAGACTCCACGTAGTCCCGGGCAGAAAGGGATGGCCGGTCATCCATGCTACCACTTGAATGCCTCTTCTGGATCTGGTCATAAAATGGGAATGGGAGAATGGGGCCTGGAGTGACCTTCAGGCACCTATGCTGCTCCTGCACCCAGACCGAGTCCAGACCATGACCCGAGTCCTTCCCGTGGCACCAGTGCCACATCACTCACACAGAGGGCTGGGCGCTTGGTGGGTGAGTCCTGTCGCAGGTGCGAGCTGTGAATGCGGTGCCTTTGGACCAGCTCGTCGGCTGAGGGGTCGGTCCAGAAGTGATCTGCGGTCTTCATCTTGGTGTACTCCAAGGCACAGGGTCCCACTGCAAAACACACAGGGCTGGGGACTCAGTTCCCCCAAAGTCCACCCACCCATCTACCGCAGATGGGCTGCCCATTTCAGTGCCCTTCCCCCAGTCAGCCGGGACCCCCCAGGCTCATACACGGATGAGACCAGAACAAGGTCCTGGGAGCACGGGGCAGCTGACTGCTATGTTCTGATGGGGCTGGGCCACTGGAAGACGCTCCTGACACCCGAGCCCAGAGCACCAGGTCTTACCCAGCAAGGACGCAAGGATGGGGCCGTCCACCGGGTCCATCAACAGGGCTTCTTTCTCATAGTATTTACTAGCAAGAGAAAAGGACACGCAGGTTTGGAAGGTGACCAGCAGAGGGCGCACAGCTGGCAGGCTGGGCTCAGAGCCTCCGCTGCCCATCTGGAAGGGGACACCAACATTGCAGGGCCATGGAGGACTTGTGAGTGACCACAGCAGGTGAAAGGCATTTAGCGTGGTGTTACGTGTGCACCTGCCTCACACGTGGCTGTGAAAGGCTGTGTGGGGGCCTGGCTGACTCTATCTGTGTCTGTCACACCTCCCACTGGGGACAGGACACCACTGAGAGACTCGGGTGACGCCTGCCATCCCACTGCTGAGGCACAGGGATGCTGTTGTGTGCAGAAAGACTGAGCCAAAGGCTCTGCAGTCATGATAAGTCACGTTGATAGCACTGACTGTGTGCTAAAAAAATCCCCTGAAATCTGGCCGGCACAATATTATGGGATGGCATCTATATGATGTTCGTGCTGAATGTTTGGGGATTTGCTTGCGAGTTATGGTGTGATGGCTTCTAATTCCCTGAAAACTCGTGCAATCTAACCAATTTCCAGGTTAGAAAGGACCGTGTTCTGACCTCCTCAGGACTTTGGGCCCAGAGAGGGTAAGTGACTTGCTCTGAGTCGCACAGCAGGCAGATGAGGCTTGGGCTATGTCCACTGCAACTTGCTCTTGCTGTCATATAGCAGGGGTGAAGCACATAGTCTGGAGTCAGACAGACTGGGTGGGTGTTCAGCTTGGCCATTGTACCTCGCTGTGTGTCCCTGGACAAGTGAACCTCCTCTCTGGGCTTCAGTAGTCCAGGTGTAAAATGGGAAGAATGACAGAATTCACCTCCCTGGGCTACTGGGCAGATTAAACCATGATCTGCATTTACAGCAAGAGCAGAGAGCTCGACACCAGGAGGTCCTGGCTAAACTCTGGCAATGTCACTGTCATCTGACCCCAAGGAAACCCTCAGTCCACCAGAACACTGGCTGAGCCAGGACTGGCCTGCCCTGGACTTGCTGGATATCAGGGTTGAACACTTGGAGTCAACTCTGAAGACAGTGCTTGAAGACATTTCCCACAGTCAGCCTTCATCTCACAAATGGCACCGCCGTGCCTCGGAGACACCCTTACAAAATGGCGGGCAGGACTGGGAACAAGAGGTGACTGTAAAGGAAGGCTTCACGGGATGGTGGAGAGGGGTTATCTGTAGGTTGGTCAGTTCCTCTGGGACAATTCTGTATCCTGATTGGTGTTGGCCACACAAAACCATCCACGAGTTAAAGTTTCATAGCACCATATGCCAAAAAAAAATGTGCGCGTATGTACAACGTGGTGAAATCCAAATGAAGCCTGTAGCTCAGTCAACAGCACTGGTACCAAGGTCAGGTTCCTGGTGTGGACAATGGCACCATTGTTACAGAAGAGGTTATCACTGGGTCGGTGGATAGTGCTGTGGACTAATTTTCAACTTCTTTGTGAATCTGAAGTACAGCTTAATGAAAAACAGCAGGCTGACATTGCTGCTTGCATAAACTCCTAATTCCTTTTGATTGACTTATTCAGCAGAAAACACCAGGTCACTCAGAGACCATAACTAAAGAGACCCAGGACTCACGGGCCTTCATGGGAGGGTGGAGAGGATGGCTGGACACCCGGGCTTGGTGGCTCTTGGTTTCTCTCTTGACTCTTTGCAGCTGTTGGTCTCCCACCGGGGTCACTGTCCCCACCTCCCTGCCTGGCTAATGTGGCACCATGTCCCTCAAATGGAGCTCCCTTGTTACTCTCCCAGGACAATTTCCTGGGCCGCCCAGAGATTAAACAGTACCCCATGGGCGGGAACCCCCCCACTCATACGACCATGGTTACTGTTGCTGAATGTGAACTTCCTGAGGAAAGGGACTCTGCTGTGTGCTTGCACACACACCTTCCTAGTAAAGGGCAAAGAATTAAAATAATTAAATAATTTTAAAAAATAATTAAAAATTAATAAATAATACATAATCCTGTGCCATTTAGCAAAGGAGACAACAGAGGCACAGAGAGGTCAAGTGATTCTCCTGAGGGCACACAGTACCAAGTGGAGTTGCCCACAGGAGAAGAAACCCAAGACCGCTACTTCCTGCATGGTGACCAAACACCTAGATCTTCTCAGGTCCCGGGGTCCGCCAGCTTAGGCACACACCCCAGAGGCTGTTTTATTAGTCAATCACTTACAAAGCTAACATGACAAGGAAGCAGCTTGTGCATGAGGCTGCGATTCCCACAGCCGCTAGTGGGGGAGGCAGAGCGCACCTGCTGTTTTCCACCAGGTAATGCACGACTTTGTCCAGGACTTTCTCAAACAAGGCCGTGCGGATCCACAGGTGCTTGATTGCTAGCGGGGACAGGTTGGGCAGCTTCGGCAGCTTCCGCACGTTGTCCTGGAGGCCCTGGATCTGGTTTCGCCTTGAAGACCAGTGAGAGAGAAGATTCTCACCAAAGAGGGCATCCCCAGGGTGACTGGACGATGGTCACTCTAGGAGATGGATGAGCTGGAACCACTCCTCGCAATGGGACATTGAAAACAGTGAGGGTGAAGATGGGGCTAAAAAGACACTTTCACATGGTGTTGATGAGCAAGGAGAGCCCTCTCCTCTGTCCTCTCTCAGCCTTCTTCCTCCGATTCTCTCTCCCCTCTCTCTCTGTCCCCTCCCTCCTTTTCCTCTCTTTCCTCTGCTTCCCTCTCTCTCCCTCTCTCTCTCTCTCTCTCTCTGAGAAAGGACTTCTGGCCAAGAGGACCTTGGACTGCAGACTCTTCAGTGGCTCCCACTGCCCCCAGGCAGGAGGCTTTTCATCATGGCAGCAGGGCACTCTGAGGTGTCCTCCTTGTCCCTGTCCCCTGCCCCCCAGCCTCCCATTCCATCCACTCGGCCAGGGGGGCTCTGCACAGGTGCCGAGGCTCCCGGCTCTCCTCTGAAATCTTTCCATGGCTTCTGCTTCCTCTTACCCCATTCCTGCTGGTCCCTCCTCACTCCTGAGGTCTCAGAAGCATCTCCTCCTACAGGAAGCCCTCCCGGACCACTAAAGCTGCCCTGCGCTCCCTCAGCCTGCTCCCTTTCCTGTCTCTCCTCCACTCTGTGATCCTGTGCACTAAGCGATTCATTTTTGTATATAAAATACTTTCTGGGAGTCCCCCATGTGACAAGCTCAGGTCCCCTTCACCTCCAGGGTCCAGCATTCAGGGGCGGCCCAGAGCCAGTGTGCCTGGATGAGTGACGGCATAAACGAACGAAGGCTCCTAGTCACTCTGGGGCCTCTCTGACCCCCGCACTGGGAAGCCCCCCATGTGTGAGGCCCCTGGAATCCACCCTTGAAAGTTATCTGCACCCAGGAGTTCAGCAGATGGACTAGAAGTCACCCAAGTCCAGGTGCTGGCAGAGCCCAGCCCCAAGCTCTGCACTGGTCACGGCCCTGGACAGGACACTGGAGGAGGCATTGCTTCACCCTTGGCAAAGAGGGAAAACTTGGGGTGTCTGTAGCTTGGATCGGAAGGTCCCCAAGGGCTGGGGTCTTCAAGGCTTGGCCCTCGGGTGGCTGCTGTTAAAGGTGGTGGAACCTCTGAGAGGGGGCGAGGGGAGTCTTGGGAAATTTGGGGTGCTCTCAAGTGGGATTGGGGGACCCTAGCCTCTTCCCCAGATGAGGAATGCAGAGTATGTTTTTTCTCCCCTTCCCTTGCCTGTGGCAGATGTGGTCAGTCAACCCACGTGCACTTCCCAAGGTCAGCTCTGAATCTTTCTCGGCGGGGTCCCCAGGAGCCACAGCACCAACGGGAGCTGAAAGCCCCACTCATCCCCTGCCCAGGCTCCAGGTAGGGGGCCCCTGGGGGCGGCAATGACAACAGGCACCCTGAACCTCACTCAGTCGCCAAGCCTCCCAGAGCACAGGTCACCAGTCATGAAGACAAGTGAGCGAAGCCTCCCTGCGAGGCACCTGGCCATGTGGACACAGCTCCTGCTCTCCCATCAACCTCCACCATCTTGCACTTAGAAGAGTGAGCAGCTCCCACTGGACCCTTCCTCTCTCAACAGCTGTTTCCCTGGCATGAACCGGGACGGGACACCGTCCGGGTGCTGGGACATGTGAGTGTCCGGCTGCTCTCGAGTAATCAGGGAGAGCAACAACAATCAACTCAACACAAACAAACCAATGAACGAAATGGCAGTGGCAACCGGGAGGAAAACGAATGGTGAGGTGAGGAGAGGAAGGGGCCGGGGTGAGTTCACGGTGCTAGGGTGTGAATGACAAGAAACCGGCCACAGAGGACGGGAGGTGCACATGCAAAGGCCCCGAGGCAGGGAAGAAGCTCACGGGTCTGAGGAGCATGAAGGAAGGGGACAGTGCTCGGGAGTGGGCTCTGCGGGGCCCAGGGAGGGTGCGACCGTCCTGCCCGGTGCCCCGGGCCTGCACTCACGCGCTCTCGATGAGCTGCTCCAGGTCCTGGACCTTGCGGCTCAGCTCCTCGGCCGGCGGGAAGCTCCTGCCCACCTTCATGAACAGAGCTGCGATCTTGTTGCTGCGCAGGAAGCCGGCTGCCCGCCGCCGCAGCCCGTGCAGGACACAGGCCTCCACCGCCGCTGTGGGGACATGGCGGTCAGCAGGCCCCATCCTGTCCACGCTCCTGCACTTAGTGTGGCCCAGAGCACCCATCAGAGAGAGGCAGCTTGGACAGGTGGAGCCCCAGAACCACCCCACTCAGGCCAGCGTCACGGGAAAACCTCATGTGACCTCCACCTGCTGCACCTCCACAGGTGGCTAACCTGGTCACGGCCTGAGATGGACCGCGTCTGCTCACACCCTCTGCCGGCCACCGGCCCATGTGTGACTATGGGCAGTGACTTCCCTGCCCTGTGCCTCAGCTTCCTTGTCTGTAAAGGGGGGACAGTGTCAGTAGCAACCTTGTAAAGCTGCCGTGAGGACAGGTGGAAACTGCAGCGCACGAGGTGGGAGAGCTGGGCACCTAGCGAGTGCTTTATAAATGGCCATTATTCCTGTTGCAGGGGAAGGAGGCTGGACCACAGCACTGCTGGGCTTAATCAGGGTTAAAAATCACACCATCAATATCACCGCCACCACCACCAGCACCATCGTCACCACCATCACCACCACCACCATCACCATTGTCACCACCATCACCACCATTGTCACCACCATCACCACCAGCACCATTGTCACCACCATCACTGCCACCAGCACCATTGTCACCACCATCACCACCACCATTATCACCACCATCACCACCACCACCATCACCACCATTGTCACCACCATCACCACCGCCACCAGCACCATTGTCACCACCATCACCGCGACCAGCACCATTGTCACCATCACCACTATTGTCACCACCATCACCGCCACCGCCACCAGCACCATTGTCACCACCATCACCACCGCCACCAGCACCATTGTCACCACCACCATCACCATGACCATCTTCACCACCATCACCAACCCCATTCTGTGCACACCGTGATCTCAGTACAGCTAACATCTGTGGGTCTTGTTTAATCTCTGCCATGGCCAAGAAGGAAGGAAACCATCCCCACTTTTCAGATGTGGACATTGAGGCTCAGACAGGTGAGCTGATTTGCTCAAGGCCACCAGCAAATATGCGACAGACCCAGGATTGAAATGTGAGTGAAGGCGTGCCACGTGTAGGACCTGGGAAAGGAACTTTCACAGCCATCTTCCATGTCTTCTTCCCCGGAGGCCCTGCCCAGCTCTCCTCAGAGCAGGACACCTGCGTTAAACCTGGTTCGTCACAAGCCTGCTGTGTGGTCACAGCAAGTGATCTGCTCCCTCTGGGCTTAATGGCCCCATCTGGTAAATCAGCCTTTGCAGGCCCTTGACGACCCTGCTCTTCCTCCTGTACTTCTGGCGCTCTCTATCTTCTCACTTCTGTGTCACACTGGTATACCATAGGTGCATAATCAGTGCTCACTGACAAGGTGAGTATCTAATAAGACCTACTCCTTATTGGGCACCTGCTGGGTGTCAGGTAACTCTCAGGATGTACCTCATCCCATGCTTGAACAAAGCCCATGGGGTGGCGTTGACACCCCAGGACAGTGACCAGTGCTCCCGGCACAGAGCTCTGCTAAGATGTGTAGGAGAAAGATGGAGAGGTTAGCTGCCGGTCCCTAAGCTGGCAATGTTATTTGGTTTTTGAATGAACGTTTAAATATTTTCTTCTGTGTCCATGCATTTAAAAATATCTTGGGTGAGATTCTCTTAAAATCTTTTTTTTTTTCACTACTGGGATTTGAACTCAAGGCCTCGCACTTGCTAGGCAGGTGCTCTACCAGTTGAGCCACTCCGCCAGCCCTTTTGGCTTTCAGTTACTGTTTTGGTAGAGTCTTGTCCTTTTCTCTGGGGCTGGCTATGGACCATAACCCTTACCCCATAACCCTTACCCATGCCTCCCACGTAGCTGGGATTACAGGCACTCACCAGCATGCCTGGTTTGTTAGATCTCTGCCTCCTAAGAAGCTGGGTTCACATGTGTGCACCATGGTGCCTGGCCCTTTAAACATCTTAATTTTAGCCAGGCGTGATGGTGCACACCTGTAATCCCAGCACTTGTGAGGTTGAGGCTCTCCTGGGCTACATAAGAAGACCCTGTCTTAAAAACAAATAATTCTAACTTACATACACAGTTCTTGTCATTTGTTTAAACTGAGATTTTACACATCACTTTGTTCTTTCTGACAGTGGATGAAAGAAACCTTGATGGGGTCTTTGGGCTTCACTGCCCCCTCAACATCTCCCACCCAGAACCTTTGGCCAGAGGTGGAGAATTGTGGTAATTATTCTTATCACTTTCGATCCTCCAAGAATACAACTGGTAGGTTTGTCAGCAACCTCTGACACAGATGTGTGTCACCTTACTTGCAATTAAAAATGTCCAGAAGAAAATAAAAAGCCATAGGGACATAACACAAAATAAAAACAATAAAGTGTAAATATATAAATATTCCAACATGAGTATGATTTGTGTGCGCATATCTCTATGTTTAAATAAACACCTTGCACTTAAAAATAAGACTTTGCCAGGGTCACCCCACAGGGAAGTGGCAGAGGTAGGATTTGAACCCAGGATTGCCTGACTGGAGAGGGGTGGACAGAGGTTCCGGGTCCCGGGCATGGAGAAGTGGGCTCGGCAGGTGTGGGCCCCCCGGGAAGGAGGGCCAGGCGTCCTTGCTGAGCCTCTGCAGGAGGCCAAGGTCACGGGGATGGGGGTGGAGGGCGTAAGTGAGAAACTTCTGGGAGGGAGAAGAAATCCCCACACCTCTTCACTACGAGCCGCGCTGTACCGGGCTGAGCCTGTCTCTGGCCATTGTCAAAGCCAGTGTGAACCACGGGGTGGCCAGTTATTTCTGGAGCCTCGTGTGTGCACAGAGGTGGTTGGACAGACAAGGTGAGTCACATCCAAGCCCTGGGCCACTGCCTGTGCCAGGTGAGCTGGATGCGACCTGGGGACGTCAGGGGCTCCTCAGTCCCTTCTTCAGGTTCCCTTCCGCCCTCTCCCTGCTCCTAGCTAGAGCCACAGGCCTGGGAACCACTTACAGCTGGGGAGGTTGGTCAGCGTGAACCGAGCCCATGGGAGGAAAAGCCACACTCCAGTGGTGGCCTCTTCCCACGTGTGGAAGCCAGCAGCGTCCCTTCAGGATCCCAAAATGACCCTGGAGCCACACAGCCAGGCAGGCTCACAGTCCGCCCCCCAGGAGTCCCAGAGAGGGAGCCACTTTCCAGCCATGGGCAGGTCACTGACTCACCGCAGAAGGAGATGATATGACTGCTGTCTTCGTGGACAAACTTGCGCGTGACGGCCTCCTCCATGATCTGTTTCACCTGCAGGGCAGACACAGTAGAGGGGACCATGTGGCTGGTGTGCAGATATCCCATGGGTGCGGCCACCTCCCAGAAGCCTTGCCGGGCTGCAGGGACTGTGGTGACCCATTTCCTTCCACGCCTCACTGCCTTGTACGTCTGTGGCTTATGTGGCCACGAGCCTCCCAGTTCACTCATTTGTCGGGGTTCTTTGTAGGGTGGCCTGTGGCTCCTCTCAGAGGTCACGCAGAAAGTCTCCCTGACCGTGATACCCAAGCAGTCCTCACCCATGCCACATGAGAGAGCTCTTCAGAGAACTGGCCACCATTCCAGCCATTGCCTTACTGGTTTACCGGCTGCACCCCACTTCCAGAATATAAGTCCCCTGGGGCAAAAACTTCATTCTCCTTGTCCACTGCTGCACCTGGGGCCTAGAACTGTGCCTGGAGCATAGTAGGTGTTCAATATGGAGCTCCTCAATGAACGAGTGGATCAGGACATACAGAAACAGGAGGTGCCATGTGACAGGCAGCCTGTGGATCAGAACATACAGACACCAGACAGCCAGCCTGGACTCCAGGACACTGGGATTGGATCCCTGCTCCGGACCTGCCCTGTGGGTTTGGAGTGTGCAGCACCGTGTGGGGCAGAGCCAGTCCAGGTGGGGATGAGACCCAGCTCGGGTTTGACTTAACCATACTCAATGGCCAGAAAGTGTCCTGGTGCCCCCAAGGATCCAGGCACGGGGACACAACGTGAGGGTGCGTCCATGGCTCTGCTCTGGGAGCTGACCCTTGGGGACCTCAACACGGCTCAGTGTCCCTGGTCACAATCACCAGACCCGTCATGCTCTGGGCCTCAGTTTCCCCACCCTGAGACTGAGGAGGTCAGAAGGTCCCAAAGGCCGGCAGAACTGGACGTCACTGGGGGGTTGCATGGGTGAAAGTAGCAAAGTCCTGCTCTCCATGCTATTTCCTGTGGCCCATCAGAACCAGCACCAGTGCATCGGGTGTCTGTCACCAGGAATCCATGTGTCTGTCTGACACCAGACATCCACCCATGTGTCTGTCACCAGGCATCAATGTGTCTGTGGGATAGTCCTCACCTCTCCCAGCCCTGGCCAATGTCACCTGTTCAGGACCACAGACCACCTCATATAAGGGCCCACAGCCACCGCCCTGTTCACACCTGTCAGAATTATCACAAATCGGGCACCAGCTGTCTTCCTACCCGACGCTGAACCCCATGAGGGCTCCCAGCTTCACAGCAATGTCACAATATTCACCCCAACTTCCAGCTCACAGTAGGCACTCAGTAATGACTTCTCACACATAGTAGGAACTCAGTAATGACTTCTCACACAGAGTAGGAACTCAGTAATGACTTCTCGCACACAGTAGGAACTCAGTAATGACTTCTCACACGCAGTAGGAACTTAGTAATGACTTCTCGCATGCAGTAAGAACTCAGTAATGACTTCTCACATGCAGTAGGAACTTAGTAATGACTTCTCGCACACAGTAGGAACTCAGTAATGACTTCTCGCATGCAGTAAGAACTCAGTAACATGTTCTCGCACACAGTAGGAACTCAGTAATGACTTCTCACACACAGTAGGAACTCAGTAACCAGTTCTCGCACACAGTAGGAACTCCGTAATGACTTCTCACACGCAGTAGGAACTCAGTAATGCCTTCTCGCATGCAGTAAGAACTCAGTAACATGTTCTCGCACACAGTAGGAACTCAGTAATGACTTCTCACACACAGTAGGAACTCAGTAACATGTTCTCGCACACAGTAGGAACTCAGTAATGAGTTCTTGCATGCAGTAGATAACTCTGTAAATGAAGAGTAACGGCTTGAGGAATTGCTGCGTTGACCTTTGGTACAAGATTTCAGCTGAAACAATTTCTTGTCACCACAATCTCAGGAAGCAGAGTGACAGAATGACCACCATTTGTCAAAGGAGGAAACAGAGGCCCAGAGAGGTGTGGTGACTCACCAGGGGTCACACAGCTGGCGGGACAGTGGTCCATCTGTGATGTGGCTCTAAGCCACCTGGCCCGGGAGGGTTGGCCACCCTCTCCCTCTGCAGGTCCTTGTCCCCTCCTTCCCTCACTCCCCGTAGATGCTCTGAGAACCCCACAGACCCTGAGGGAGAGATGGGCACGGGTTCCAGCTCAGCTCAGCAATGCAGCAGGAGGATGACAGGACAGGTGGGCTCAGGGGAGGGATCATGGGTCAGGGGTGGTCGTGGAGCCAGGAAAGCTACACTGAGAATTGGGGTCGAAAGGTGGAGGTCACAGCCCGGAGCAGCCACTGACCACCCGTAGGGCCCCAGCAAATCCCTTCACCTCCGCAGGAAATGGTGCCAACTTGGAGTCAGTCAAGGCTGTTGCCGGATCCTCAAATACCCAGAACCCAACCATCTCTCACCAGCTCTTGGGTCCGAGTCCCCATCACCTCTGAACTGAGTCAGTGCTGGTCTTGAGTCCACCCCGAGAGGCCTGGCTCGTCCTGACATGCCAGTACATTTGGTAAAAGGACACAGAGGACCAAGCAACATCACACACCAGAACAGGTCCTGTCCCCTGCAGCACAGCACACTGAGGGTGCAAAACAAGTCCGAATCAACTTAAAAAGTGGGAATGACACAAAGCACCCACACGGATGCACCGGAATGAAACTGGCAAGAGTGAGAATTAAACGGCCCGTTCTTAACAAGTCAGACACGAACTCACAAGAGAAATTAAACAACATCTCAAGATCAACGAAAAGGAAGCACGAGATACTAAACCTACTGGATACAGCAAAGTCAGTGCCGAGGGGAAATTAAGCCAGAAATGCTCAACTGACAGGAGGAAGATCTCAGGTCAGCAATTTACCTTGTGCCTTAAGAAGCCAGCTACCGAGGAGCAAATAAACCCAACACAGCAGAAGGAGCTGGGAAAAACAAAGAACAGAAAAACAGAAAATTCACAAAACCAAGAGTTTGTTTTTCCCAAAAGTTCAACAAAATTTAAAAAGTTTTAGCTACATTAGAGCTAAAATGAAAGGGGCCGTTACAGCTGACACCACAGAGAAAGGACTGCAGGAATCGTGTTGTTCGGGCGGTGCCATGGGTCACGCCTGTAATCCTAGCTATTTGCGAGGCGAGATTAGGAGGATCTGGCAGTTTAATTCCAGACCAGGCAAAAAGTTCACAAGACCCCATCTCGATCACTGGCTGGGTAAGGTGATGCACGCCTGTCTTCCCAGCTGCACAAGTGGGAGGGTCATGGTTCAGGCCAGCCTGGCCATAAATGTGAGTCCATATCTGAAAATAACTAAAAAAGCTGGGGGAGGGGGACGGGAAACAGCCCAGGTGTCTAGGGGACGAACAGTTAAACAACTGTGGTAGGTCCATTCAGTGGAATAGTATTCAGCCTTAAAAATGAACATTCGGGGGTGGGGGGCGGGGGCCAAAAAAATAACATTCTGCCACGTGGTGCAACGTCACTGAGCCTGAGGAACTGTGCTCTGAGAAACAAGCCACGAGCAGACGGCAGCTGGACGGCGCCACTCCCAGAAGGGACAGGGAGGAGGACGGGCGTGGCCAGGGTGGCTACTGTTCGGTGAACACAAATGGATGCACAGCTTCAGTCCGCGAGGGGAAGCTCTGACCCTGAAATTAGGAGCTGCGCACTTACGGGCACGAGGCCACTTTCATAGCCCGCACACCTTATGGTGGTCTAAATGTGCTTATGTTCTCTGACGGGGCGTAAATGAGTATTATAAACTTGGATGCTTTTCTATTTATTTCTACTTTTCTATTACTGTATTACTGCGGTACTGGGAAAAGTTCTTATGGTACAAACTATGAACACTTTTGAGTTATTTTAAATATATATTTAAGCCCATTAGAGCACATCCCTCTTCTGCTCAGATGCCTCCCAGGGCTCCTGTGTCACTCACTCCTGGTGACAGTCCAGCTCTCACTGTGGCCACCAGGCGCTGCAGGAATTGGACCCCAGGGTCCTGCTGACCACTGCACACACTGGCCTCCTTCCCCGGTGGGCGCCCACCTCACTCCCTTTGCACTTCCTGCTCCCCTCGCCTGGCGTACTCTTTCCCCAAGCCACATGGTTCCAAGGTCACCTTCCCTGGTCACCTTACTTAAAACGTGACCTGCGCCCCCCCGCCACTCAACACGCCTCTCTGCACGTCACCTCTGTACTTCTCATGTACTCTGTTCCCTGACTTCAGAGTCCCTCTGCTCAGTGACGTCAGGAATTCTCCTGGGACCCGCGTGAGCTCCACGGGTACGGCTGAGCGGATGCCTCAGTCCCACGGCGAGTTAGGTGAGGCGGTGCAGGGACACGGCACGTTACCGATGACGGCACGTCAGTGATGTGCAGGGGGGCGACCCGCTTTGGCTGTGAACCAATAAAACTTTATTCCTGAAGACAAGCGGAGGGCCTGATGCACTGCTGACCCTGCATACTCCTGGTTGGCCTGCCTGGCTGTCCAGGTGGTCCAGTCTGGGGCAGCATTTAGGGTGTGGGCTAATGTGGCCTATGACCCCACCTAGCAGACCCCAGTCCTGTGCAATGACCTGTGTAAGCAGGTGTAGACCTCAATTGATGCCCTTCAGAGGTGGCCATCTGCTCGCCACCTTCAGGAGTGGCTCTGAGGCGGAGTCTTGCTGCCTGCCTGTTTTGTTCCCTATGGGAAGCACAGAAAGCACTGGGCCCCATGTGCTCTGTGTCCCCAAAGCAAGCCATGAGGTTCCTCCAGCCATGGGGGAAACCCCAGACTTCTCTCAGACCTCAGGGTGGGGTGGGAGCCAGGCTTGGGATGTCCCAGACCTGTGGCCATCCAGTAGGTGCTCCTGTCCCTCAGGGCCTCAGTTTATAGACAAATTCATGTCTTCCCTGCCTCCCTCCTTTTCTCTGTCTTTCTTCCTCCCCTCCTGGGTCCTGGGTATTCAAACCAGACCTACAATGCTAGGCAAGGTCCACCATTTGAGCCACAGCC